CCCCCCCCGCGCGCGCGTTACGCGCGCGTTACGCGCGCGTTACGCGCGCGCGCCGCGCGCATGTAACGCGCGCGCCTTATTTCGCGCGTAACGCGCGCGCGCGTAACGCGTTATAACGCGCGCGCGTAACGCGCGCGCGCGCGTTACAGTTTTTACACTTTAAAAAGATGAAAAAGTATAGCTTAATAATATATTTTGGATAGTCGATGTAAATAGATGAAATAACCGTGTTGGCCAGGTGTGCGCCCTACTCCTTCCATAACCGCGCCAATATATTTCAATAATGACAATGAAGTTAAACAACCTACAATCTAATCCAGTCGTCATTATTTCAATAATCACAAGAAGATGAGGCACTACATACGCGAGTGTGGGTTATTTCTTCTATCTTTGCAACGTCAACCTTCTTCTTCTAACGACCACTCTGACGAAGGACGCGCTCTTCTTGATGAGCAAGACGAGCATGCAGGAGAGCATTTTACTTAAGGCTTCCGGGAATCCATTTTTGAAAAGCATCTTGGGGCACCCCTCTAAGGGAAAAACCGACCCAAGATGGCTCTCGAGATGGGTTCCCGGAAGGTCTCTAACTTACGCAGACAACAAAAAGCTGTTGCAAATCCTTGACATCTAGACTAAAGGGCCTATTTATTTCACGACCTAGCGGAGGAGGTCATGCACATCAAGATTGATTCGTCTTTGATTTGGAATGGTAGGAATAGCTTTTTTAGGTTATGATGATTACTATTACTTAGATTTTGCTGGAAATGAAAACACTCTTTCTCTTAGTCTCACAACTCGGGTATAATTGATTCTGGTAGATGAACCAATTTGAAATTATTGAAAAAAAATGATGATCCCAAATCTGAGCTAACCCACTGCGCATGTCGTCAGGAATGATAGAACTAAAAAATCGAAGTCCGTCGAAACAAAATGAGAATACGTCAGAATGGTTGATGAGAATCGTAGTGATGATGTCGCACTGGATGACATGAGGCTGTAGTTTCTGACATACGTATCTCCATCTCTTTTCTTTAAGAATAGAGCTTTCATTTGATTGGATCTTTTAATAAGCTGCTTTTCCTGGAGGTGGACGTGAAGCAAAAAATACAATGCATCATCACGACCCCGAGGAAATATGTCGACGATAAAGTACTGACTCGAAGTCGAAAAACATGGAATAAGTTTGACCAAAATCTAAAGCCTTAGCTTTCTTGCTCACAATTTTTGAATGCTGCTTCCGCAAAAGAATATTAAGTGTTGTTAATACATTTCGATGCCGATGGGAAAATCATAATTTTAAAATCATAGATCAGGCCATGGCCATCCAATCATATCATCGAGAGCTTGGTTTTTAGTCAATGAGCTAAGAATAAAGCAGCAAATAAACTGCGATATTGCCACATTGCTGCATGGTACTATTGATATTTTTATTTTGTGTTGTTAGAAGAAACTCGTACTGAACCAAGTTGTATTAATCTTCACAAGCTAGTGTTGGATCAACATAGACGGGTCGTCATATTGTTACGTGAAGCGATACAAATAAATGCAACTTATTTCGGATTCTTGGTTTGTCAAAGAACTCAGCTGAATTGGTTAAAGCTGCTATATCAAAGAGTCTTCGCAAAAGACGAAAAAGAACACAATAATGTTGATAGGAAGATCCGTCCATGCTGTTCAACAAGAAGAAGATTGACTTTAGTCGTGAAGTCGGTACGGAAAATTGGGTGACGAGATGATGTTTTTACTGTTGATTCTTTCACCAATGTGCCCAGCATCATGTCTGTCGACGTGCAGCTGAGGGATTCATTCTTCATTTGCCTTGATCCAGTTCCCCTGTTCCGCAAATGTTAAAAGTATGAAGATGATGACGATGACCCCAGTACTGTCATGAATATGAAGACCATCAAGATCTCTGTCGCCTTCACGTTCTTGATTCAAGAACGTGAAGGCGATGGCGATCATTGTAGCACTATGATGATACTGATCACAGCGCTGAAACCCTATGTGCTCTATGTGGGTGCTTAAGCATGCTGTTGCACATGAGCTGCAAGAAGGTCCACACATTTGACAAACTTGCAACCGCATGAGGACCATGCAAAACCTTCACGATTTGCGCAACTGCAACAGGCCGGGGGCTTTATAAAAAGCGCGCCGCCTTGGCCCTAGCGTTCGCAAACCTGCCGCGCGGTTCTTCTTCTATCTTTAAGTGAGTAGCAAGCCCATCTTCACAAGTAGTTACAACTCGCATGACATTATTAGCATTATAAATATGAAAATAGGTTCTTGATGGTCTACCTAGGTCTTCGAAATTCAAATTGATCAACAAAATGGGAATTCCGGGGTATCTCAGATTTCTGCGTGAGCATGGGAGTTTTCGTACTGCCTTCAGCGAAGATGTACCAGCCTGCTCACAAACACCCCAAAGAACCACGTCATTTGATGACGTGTATGTGGATTTCAATCAACTGATTCATGCGCAAATCGCGAAGCTTCCTCTTGGGTCAAAAATCGAAGATGTCTTTCCGCTGGTTGCAGAGGACACTTGCAAACTTCTTCGTCGTTGTGGAATATCTTCTGACTACCATCATGCAACACCACTGCCGAGTGGAAGTACTTCAACTTCTTGTTCTTCTATTTCCTATAGTTCTTGTGCAGCCTATAGAAGTACTACATCAATCAACACGAAGAACAACATCAAAAATCACGATGAAAATCACGAAGATTCGAGCAGCATGGCGATGAAGTTGTTGGCGACTGCGCAGCGCGTGGTGTATCTCGCCATGGACGGAGCGCCAAACAAGAACAAGGTCGCATCCCAGCGAAACGGCTGTCGAGTAGAGGAAGACCCTATAAAGTTGGGAGTCAAACCCGGAACCGAACTGATGATGCGGCTTGCCGCTTTTTTGAAGACGGACATTTTGCCGGTCCTCCGAAAATTGAACCCAGGTGTGGAGTTTTATGTAAGCGATACCACGGAACACGGCGAGGGAGAAGGCAAAATTTTCGCTCTTATCGGCCACAGAGAAAAGGCTGAGCAGGCTCGTCTCGCGGAGGTGCTTACAATAATTTTTTAGTCTTCGTCAATACCAAGAACTTCAAAATCAGTGTTGAAGATGCACTTATTCAGATGAAGAGAAGCTACTTAGATTCTAAAAAGTAAACGTAGAAACGCGAATACGATCAGTCGTGGTCTAAGATAATGTGACTTCTTTTTATTTGAAATTAATACAACGAACAGGCGCACGCCGTTTCTTGCTCATCGTCGTTGGCGAAGAAACGGAAGGTCTGTGTTGTGGGGATCGACTCGGATTTGTTCTTGATGGCCATTGCCGCACTGGGTCCACGTGACTTGTTGGTGTGGTATCGACCAGCACAGAAAACGACCACGAGCGGAATCTATTCTCCTTGTTTTTTTAGCAAGAAGGTTTTTTTTGATCGGCTTGCGAAAACGTTGCGCTTACCCCAGAATGTTATCGATGACACAACCGATCTGCTTCCTTACGTTGAGGACGTGATCGCATCGGACATTGCAGCCCTCTCTCTCCTGTTGGGGAACGACGCTCTACCGGGATTTCCCCTGGACGCTGCAAAACTGTTCGATACGTACTTCAGCGCCATTTCCTCTAAAATACGGAGAGACGGCATGGAAGCCTTCGATAACGAGGGTCGCATCCTGTTCGACGAGGAGTACTTCTACAACTACGAACACGAAGAAGATGTTGTGAAAGCTCCTGTTCAACATCCCAACCAGCATTTCTTTTCGAAAAGACGCTTTGGCTTCAATATCGACAACCCACTCTTGGAAGACTGCATCAAAGCGGCACGCTCAGATGAGCTAATATCCTGGTTCGACGCCAAGAAGAAGAACACTTTCTCCTTCACCACCGAAATGGAATTCAAGAAAAAAAACCCGGTCGTGGTTGCTGAAGAGCGCGGCAGGGCTGGTAGCGGCAACGCAAGCTCGCTTCTGAAGATGGAAGTTGCCGAAGCGAGGAAAATGCAAGAGCTGGCGGAGCACTTAGGGGCGATGCAAGGCGCGATTGCAGGCTCGCGTGCGTGGTCTTTCGAAACGCCTGCTGGCCAGGGGGGGGTTTTTCAAAACTTGGACAAGTACATGGGATGCCTCCTGTGGCAACTCGAGGAAATCATTATGATTAAAAAAGATGTTGAACAAGAAGAAGATGATTTTGATAGTTGATGTTCTTGTGTGACGCATTCACATTCTCATTCATACAGATTCAAAATAACTAGAAAAATAGGAATACTTAGTTAACAACAAGGCTCTAGTAGTAGTACTTCTAGAGACATTAGAACAAGTTGTAACGTGTAATATTCCTAATATCATCATCAATCTGCTTCTGCTCTAATATGAAGAACATTGGAGATTTTCCAGGGAAGATGCGGTTACAGGGCGAATGCGAACAGTGGAACTACTTCTGCGATCTGAAGCCCGAGCATGGGCCGATAATGGAGGTGGACTCGTTTTTGGACATGTTGAATTTCCGCATTCAAATGATTCGCGAGGGAAAAGAACCAGAATTTTCTGCCGCCATTATTCCGCGCTCTTCATCTACAGCTAGAAGAAGCCCTGTCTCAAACGTTGCGCCCCATGTGCTCACGTATTGCTTGGCTGCCATCCCAATCAACAGATTGCAGGATGTTCTGAATCAAAACACCCTTTCCGGGATTGTGCTCCCCTGCCTGAAAAGCTATCCAGAGTTCTTTCACGGTGTCCAGCGGATTGATGAGCAATTTCATGACGAAAGGAAGCTGGTGGAGGCGACATTGAGAATCTTCAATGGTTGTAAAAACACGCTGTTGAACACTCTTGATAAGACATTGCTCTCGAGGCTCGAAAGTGAAACAGAAAAGCTCATAGATGAGGAGGAAGAAGAAGAGGCGGAGAGAACGATGGGAAGCAACATCAACAACAACACTTCTGCTAGTATCGTTGTACCAACATTAAGAGCAACAACAACAACCTCGTCTGCGAGCCGATATCAACAACAACAACAACTTCTCGTCGAGTTGCAGGACTATAAAAAGCGCTTACGCGATGCCCTTCTTGCTCTGAACACTGCACGTGCCACACTCTTGGAAGCAAAGGCAGATTATCGCGAAAAGATCGCAAAGTATTCTGATGTACAGGATATAGATCTTTTGAAGCTGGATCGCGAGGTTGTGAGACCTGCAGTTGCGCGATTGGAGAAGGGCGAGCTCTGAAATTCTTGATGTTGGATGTGGATTTTTGAGCAGATGATTTTCGAAAATGATCAAAGTGAAATGGAATTTGAAATGCTAAGTACTTACTTTGTATAAGAGGTGAGAGACACGACGAACTTCCTTCAAAGTTAAGTCGAACTCTCGATGATTTTGATTTTTAGTTTTTTCCTGGTCTCTACCAAGAACCGCCTTCCACGTTATTTGTCATGACTACTATACAAGTTGGACGACATTATTTTTAAATTTACGCGGCCTGCGGATCCTCATTCTTGAAAACCATTCATTAAGATTACGCAGGCTGCGGACCCTCATTCTTGAAAACAAAGTTTCAATTTCATTGACTTCTCTCGTTGTAGACTTCTTTCGTCCTCGCTTTTATGATCTTCAATATACAACTGCTTATTCCTCACAGCGTCGCAAGAACGATGTGGTTCTTCATCGGTCTTCTGTATTAATGACATTTGGTCCTGGCTGTTGAGTGAAGCTTGAGAGATGGAGTAAAAAAAGTACATTGTCAAAAGTGTAAGTGAGAGTCAAAATAGAAAAGCAATAGGACGTAGGATAAAGGAAAGAGTGTCTTCCTTGGCCTAGCGGAACTAGTGCGATATTGATCATTTTAGAAAACCGCAAGCACGATGAATGATATTTCTGTCCTCGACGTCAACTTCTGTGCTGATGATGATGATGTGCTTGTCTTCAAGTGTTGCTGAGTGACGTCAACTTCCGTGGCATCTTGAAGATACTTGTGCTGAGCGCTCAGATGAACATTGATGGGATTAAAGACATCTGTACTCGCAGTCCTTTACTCTGCTTTGATCTGTTGAGCCGCGTAGCGTAAGCTTTTAATCTGTTGAGGAATGAGTGCCATCCTACTAGAGCTTGAGAGAACGAGGACCATCCTTGTTCACCTTTTTTCTCAGCAGGCCAATCAATTTAAGATGGCAATTTTTTCTCGTTCTTCTTCTCCCAGTTCCAACATTTTTTCGATCCTGACCTTCTGACGAGGTTCTTTTTCTCCACACCCTCGTCTAGTACCTCTTTCCAAAAAAGTTCCCGTTCTTGGTTCATCCTTCATATTGAACCTGATCCTTTTTTGCTGAGCTTTTCTTAAGTTCTTCTTCTCGTGCTACTTCAACATTCTATTTCACACCAGGTTGTCCTCAGAATTCTCCAATAAAAATCAAGAATCTGCAAAAAAATGCCGGTACCAATACCAGAAGCGGATGGTAGTGATTCGGACTCGCCAAGGGGAGCCGAGTCCCTATTTCACACTCCCTTGAGAAAGCGAAGCACAATGACCATGTCCACAGATCTGTACGATGAAGGTGCCATCTACCTGCTCTACGATGCTACGGGATTTAACAGGAGTGGACCACCTGGAGGTGAACCTAACTACAGAACTTCTTCACCACGCTCTTCAACAAAGGAAGGAGGCAATGCTGTGACTCCGGCGAAAGAGGCCGTTTCCTCGAAAGACCAAGGTGCGAGGACAGCGTCGAGATCTATAGATTCGAAAAGGAGTGCACTTGCAGCATCCGCACAAGCTGCAAAAGCAGCATCACCAGCAGCGTCAGCAGAAGCTGTTCCTTCCCTAGAAGCCCTTCTTTTACAAAATACCCAGATGGAACAAAGAGAAGCTTTCGAGAATAAGAGGGAACAGGTATTGGCTGATATGGAAAGGGAAAGACGGATTTTGGAAAACGCCAAGAAAAGGGAAGCGGAGCAAAAAGAGAGAGAACAATCTCAATCGGCTGAAATCGCCGCTCACTTCAAAGAAGAACACGCGAAGGCAATGCTGAAAGTGAAACCGACGTTGGAAATGCCTAAGAGACCCGAGCCACCGGCGCACTTCGGAGGAGGGAAATCCAAATCAAGTAGCAAAAACACGGGTAGTAAAGACAGGAGCAGAAGTAGGCCAAAATCGAAAGAAGGAGACGATCTTGGTGGAGGTGAAGCGAACGGAGATAATTCACCTGGCGAAGAGAAACACACAGAAAATGCGGCAAATACCGAGGAGCAGGATAAATGTTATGTTGTTGACTTTGAGTTTGATGAATTCAACATAACTACTAGTCTTCTACTTTTGTACTTTTGCCAAGCTGCATTCCTCTAATCCCCGAACGACAACGGCGAAGACGCGTGGTACAACAAAATGAAGCCTGGAGGTCGTGGGGGTGGCGTCGCTCTAGACGTCAATTATTTTCAAGACGTGATGACCAGCAACGCACTTGCAGCGAGGTCAGGAGGCACCAGCTCACTGGATGTAGGGCAAATGAAGAGCACTGGTGTTGGTCATGTTTCTTTAACTACAGCTGGAAACAAAGGAGCTGCAGGAGAAAGTACTGAAGCCCCGAGTGATAGTGATGCAACGCAAACACCGGAGGAAACGGCACAACATATACAAGCAAAGTTTGAAGCACAAAGGAGTCCAACTGCCTCTATTATGACGGCTGGGGTGAGGAGGGAAAAAGTTCGTCGTCGTGGAGACTATAAAAGTACCGTTGCTGGCTTAATTCCAGCAGAGCACGTCGAAGCAGCGCAAAGCCATCAAGCACAAGCACAATCAAAAAGTGGTGACAAGGTTCTAGACGTCGCCAAGATCCTACATGAGGTCCACTTCGAGGAAACTAAATGCCATAAAGCGACAAATCTAGGCTTGAATAGCCATCACAGTCCGACGATGCGCAAGATCATGGAATTGCGGTCAGCTCCTGTAGACATTACCGAAGATGCTCGAACCGACCCCTACCTAGTGACCCGCAACAAGAGCTGTCGTCATCCTGGCGTCTTTGCAGGGGAAGAGTCTTTGGTCTACGAAGAAATTTCTCGGCGACAGCATTCACCTGCGAAGGAGAAAGAAGAGGTCAAGGCAGAAGGTACGCAGGAAGCTAGGGCTCAAAGGGCAAGGGATAGGGAATATCGAATTAAAAGGCGAACATATGAAATGGGTAGAGCGGGTTTAGAACCACAAGGAGCGTTTCAACTGCGCTATTTAGTGGATCACAGGAAAGCGGCAGTAAGGAATGAGCCAGTTCCTCCGATATTTGGGCCTTTGCAAATTGCAGAGAGACTACTGGACTTGCCGCCAGAAGCCACAGGGTCTATTGGAAACCGATTGCGCGGAGAACTCCTCACTGACATCATGGAAGGACAGGGCCCGACGGGAACCAAGTACTATCTGCAGACGAAGGAGGACGTAGTGGATGACTCAGCGATGAAGATGAACAAGCACTCCTCGTCAAGTAGTCATTCACATGGGTCTCCTGGGAACAAGAAGAAGCAATCCTCCTGTTCGCCTGCTGAGGCTTCTGGCGCTGGGTCAAGGCCAGGATCGTCTCAAAAGAGGTCACGCGGATTGGGGAAACGATCCAGAAGCAGCAGTAGGGTTTTCGATGAGCAGGGGGAGAATACTCTCGAACGATCGACAACACCTGTGAAAGACAATATTAGTCTCGCAGCTGTTTTAGCATCTTCTAAAGTCGGTAATGCTAGTGGTACGCGAGGAGGTGGAGGTACAAGTGGAGCTAGAGGAGGTCCACAAGAACAAGGGTCTTCAACGCCTGCTCTCGCCATCGAGAATGCATCTACCTCGAACCGTATCAGTGGAACCCCCATCGTTCTTGGAAACATGTATAACGCCGGGTTTACTACTCCAAGTCCCAACAAAATTCGCGGCCGTCCTGGATCCTTTGAGGAAGGTGGAAGTTCCTCTCGTGGAAGCAGCGTCTCTTCAGCCTACACACCCAAGATGTCTAGTGTAGGAAGCAGTCCCAGCGTTTCGCCCAGAGGCGGTGGTACTAATGGGACGAGTCCGAATTCCGATTTTTTTGGAGATCCTCCTCAATCTCCGGGAGGGCAGCAGCATCTGACCTCTATGGCAGGTGGTTCCTTCAGTGGGATGCACGCGCATTTGACGGTGCCCTTTGAAACTCCGGGTGTCGTGACGCATCCAACACAACGAGGCGTCTCGCAACGAAGTCGGATCAGAGATGTCAGGCAAAGGAGTGTCAAGCGCTTAGGCTTATCCCCCAAAGCGACATTAGGTGACTGGAAGGAGGCCGTGTATTCGGCAGCCGAGCACAAGCGAATGTTGTATCATCCGGTTGCGGAACATAACTTGAGGGATCGATTCGTGCCGAACTTCAACTTCCAGCATCCTGCAGTCCACGGGGAATACGACATCGCCAGGGACTGCCATAGAGTATCAGCTTTGTACAAGACGTGCTCACACCGGCAACCGCAACCACAAGGCCATGAATTCTTGCTATTGCCGATTCAAAGATATGATGGATCACCATTGGCTGGGCCGCCAAGGTCCAGGTTGGTATTGTCGAAATTAGAGGAGTATCCGCAGTTGCGCGGATCGGCTGTTCACTCTCTACTGCCGCCACCGCCACCAAGGGGTTTGCCGATTGGCTTGAACCCACGCAAAGATCCGGATAATCCTGATAAATACCGTATCTTCCCACCACAAGCTGTGTACAAAATGTTGATGGAGAGGAAGAAGCTGCCTAATGATAAGGACCATTACCTGCGCGTGGCGAAAAGACGCATGCAACAGATCTTGGATGATTATCAGAAGCGTGAGGCAGAACGGGCAACGGAATTTGGCACTTTAGTTGACAGGATGACGCAGCTCTGGCTACGACGGTCTTTGCTGACGCATACCTGCAGACGTCAAGTGATGAAGTTCAAATATGCCTGCACGAGGCGAAAAGCGAATGCACGAAGATTCGAAAGTAAGCAAATTGTGATCAAGGCAGCGGAAGCGCCATCCACTGCAAAACAAGGAGCAGCTGCTGGTGCGCATAAGCTGGGTGCGAAGAAATCCTTATGGGGTAGACGTCTCGGTGCTGATGGAGTTCTCCGAAAACCAGGTGGTTTCGCTGGTCGTGGGGCTTCTGGAGGAGCGATGTCCAACTGGCTAGGTGGTGCAGGGAAGGCTTTGGATGACGAAGCATCTGACGGTGCGGTCAGTGAGCAGGCTACGACGGAAGTAGACAGGTTGAAATATTTCGATGCATCGACTTTTTCGGCCATAGTTTCTCCTCGATACAAGGATACAGCGACAGTGAAATTACTGAGGCCAGCGTTGTTTGGCAATGCTAAAGGAATGCCGAAGTCTAAGCGGAGAATCGAGGTACAACCCACAACTTTGCATCTGACGCCATCGAGTATCTTCAACCGCGATTTCTCATTGAAGAGTGTCTACTACGGCGGCGACGGCTTGCGCAATGACACGACACACAAGAAGAACGCTTTTCTAGCTGGGAAACATTACTCGATCGGCATTCGAGAAGACTGGGATACGATCTTTGAATGTTTCTATCCTGCTTTGCCTGGCCAAGGAAGGCTGAAGATGAATCAAAAACCGAAGACATTGAGAACTGAAGATCTAGACAACCACAACGAAAAATGGAGTCAAACGTTCCGTATGCTTCTCAAAGCCATGGGCTTGTCTAAATTTGGTGACACATCGTCCAATCATCGTGCCAGTAAGGAATTCGCCTCATTCCGAGTGGACGCTGCCAGACGAACTTTATCCAGACTCACTCGCAGAGACCCTAGCTATTTCGGACCAAAATGGAGCAAAGACTCCTTCCGCGATGCAATGACCGGTCTGCAGAACCTCGAAACCACTGCTATGCAGGAACAGACGCAACTAAGCCCCTTTTGGGTCAAAAGAGGACATCATAGGGAGATGGGCATCTACACCAAGAATCAACTATTGACCATCTTGGAAGACAATCTAGGCTACTATGGAGCATGCACAGATGCGTTCTATGCAGATTTTCACGAGCCGGATGACACAAGAGGACCGAATGCTGTACTAATTCTACTCGTCAAGATCATCTTGTTCTTCTCTTCATTTGCTACGTGATTTGTAGTGTCTCCTGTGTCTTGGTCTTCTAGTAGAGGTAGACGGAGCACGAGCAATTACGTTCTCCTTCTCCGCCTGCTTCCACCATTTCAATTAAGTCTATGCAACAAGATCGTTTCTTGAATTCTAAGGCTCTCGAGATTGTTATGGTTTCGTCCCTTCCTTGTCTTACTCCTCAGTTCCACGAATTCATGAAAAAGCAACATATTAGCGACCATAATAATATTTATCTTCTAGTACTTTCTCACATGAGGACCACTTCTTCTACAGGTCGATTCCGAACTCGCCGAGTTGAAATCTATGGGCTTGGAGGATGAAGAAAGCGCGCAGCCGCGCTACTGCACTCTGGACTTCTTCCTCCAGAGGTTTCAAGCTCTTCGTGCAAACCATGGCTTCTCAAACACGGAGGTTGATGGCGTAGCAAATTGGTTCTTGAACCACCCGTTTTCGTTCTCCTCGGTGAAGCAGTTGCTTCTGCGTTGGGGCATACCTTGCGACTTCAAGACCGTCTATCGCGCAGTGAGGGAGGTAGTGCCGGGAGTAACGCGTTACAACGACTACACCGAAAAATGGAAACTCCCCGAACATGAAGGGCAGGTGCTTTGCAGAGTCTGCCTTCCGCAGATCCTGTACGTTCTCCAAGCAGCTATGCTGGTGTTTGAAAAAAAACTCAGAGAGCACTGGGCAGCAGAAGTCGACGCCGATATCACCAAATCTGTGAGCGATATCAGTTGGAAACCAAGCTACTCGGCAGACGGCACTCCTAAACTGCATTACCCGCTGGATTCGCACAAGACTTCGCACTTCATTTCGCAGTTGACCCATTTTCACGCTTACTCGGCTCTCGGCGTGAACGCACCCGCTTTGCACGAATACAGCAAGTTCAAGGCTTTTGTCCGCCAAGTGATCCAAAACCGGGGATTTTCCACTGAGTTCATCATGGTTGTCAAGAACAGCTTTTTGCGTTTGTCGAGAAACAAACCAGACAATCCTTTGGAACAGAACGATCCCTGGTACCAATACGCCAACAAGCGAGTCCTCGACCCCATTCGTCACGACTGGTCCGACAGATGGAGCACTTTACATGGCCTGAGGACAGTGTTTGGAGTCACTGAGAAAACCTGCTGTCTGGACATTCCTAGAGACCAATCCTTATTGGAGAGGTACTATGGCTACGGCGTTGACGGAGGTGCAGGTTCGAACCCAGGGACTGGTGGACAAACTCCTAATGGGGGAAGCTTAAATGGAGGAAGCGTATCTGTCCATGATGCAAAGGGCCACGCTGGCGGGTCTGGATCACCCACTTTTGGTAGAACCAATTCTGGAAACGAGGAGCAAACCAAGGCAAACGACGAAGAGGAGGATAGCTACCTCAGCATGGCATTGGCACAGCACAAAGCGAACAAGGAGAGACGTGCAGCAAAAGCACGTGCTGGCAGTGCGGAAATAGCCAATAACATTCGTAGGGGTAGTGCTCCTGCTTCTCCGAGTGCAGCCTATGCTCCTGTTGCTGAAGAGTCCACAACTGGTAATGCCGCCACAGGAGATCACGTTGAACTTGAATCGCCTGAACACGAAACAACGTTGGAGGCCATCAAAGAGGGCGCTCATGAAGATGCTACGCCCTCCTCCGCTAATGAGAATGAAGAGGACAACGCAACTGCTAGTAAGACGGTCAGCGTAGGAGGACGAGGAGCTTCTAAAACAAGCACGAGTAGAAATGTTTCTGCTGCCACTCGTTCAGAACGGAAAGCAGAGATGTTCTTGTCTCAGTCTGGAGGCAGTATGGAAGATTTGATGCAGGTGATGTCCTCCGTGACTATGAACGGAGGAGCTGGCATGTCGTCGCAAGCAGTAAATACGTCTTTTCTGCGTGCTATACGGTTGAAATTGGCGGAAGAGTACTTGCCTTGTGCTACGGATGATCTGCGTGATAAGGTGGAGGCGTTGAAAAAAGCGGAAAAGCAGTTTGCAGAGCAACAAGCAGTAGCACAGACGGCAGAAGGATTGATAGCTGATGCATCGGAATCACCAAATGCGGCAACAGGAACGGGACGAAAGAATGGCGGAAGCGTGAGCCTCGGTTTTCTTGGTAGAGGAGAAATTAGTGGAGAGCAGGCTTCAGTGACTCCGGTTCTTGCGGCGACTCCTGTCTCTACTTCAAACCTAGGGGATGGTGCCACCTCCTCTGGTACTGCTGGTGCAGCAGAAGAACAGACCCGCCCTGGCTCGGCTCTCTCTGGGAACAACAGAACTATGATGTATGGCTCTGTTCCATCCGGCGTCCCTGAGGTCTATGTCCGAGGAGGAGAACCTCCGCCTCTCCACATCAGGCCCCGTCAGTTCTACCTGCTGCTACAGCAGATCGGCTTCAATGGTCCAACTGTTCAAGATCTCGCGTTTTTGCACCAATTGGACGCTGAAAATGTGGTGGTCGATCTCTACCAGTGTTTGGTGTGGTTGCAACTTCTGTTGAACAAAGAACGGCAGTTCATCAGTCAACTGTTTGTGATGTACGCGTTTATGGATCCAAAGCCGAGACCTAAGAATCCGACCACCGGACCAAGGCGGTTCAAAGAAAATGCACCGACGGTGGCGCCGCATGGTACTATTAATAGTTGTAGATCTTTTACCAGCTCCAGCAGCTTAGTACATGATTGATGAATCGAATCGTGTTGTATTGCCTCTTCAACATACTGCACTGCCCACGACTACCTATGTCTAACTGATGTATCATCATGTTTGGTGGGCAATAGACCCTACGACGTAAGTTGTTCTCCACTTGAAGTGCAACTTATGTTAACTTTTGGCGGGCAATAGGCCCTACGACGTAAGTTGTTCTCGCTCCACTTGAAGTAAAACTACATCTACTTGAAGTAGAACGACATCTTGAAGTAGAACGACAACATCTTGAAGTAGAACGACATCTTGAAGTGGAACTACATTTTGAAGTAGAACGACATCTTGAAGTAGAACTTATCATGTTGGATGTGCTAGATTTGTTCCAAAAAGATGTGACCAAAAACTCCTAACAACTGCCGCCCCAAATTTCTCTCAGGTTACCTCCTCTGCCGCCTCGACACTTGCGGGGAGTTCGTCAAAGCCAGAGAAGACAGCCACAGCATGGACGTAATGCACGGTGTCCGAGACGATCCGACCACGAGAATCGACATGGACGTACTGAACCAGCTAATGTTGTCTCTCGGTCTCTTTCCGCGGAAAGTTTGTGAAGGTTTGGAAGGGCAGCATAGTCTAGAACTGTTGAATGCCAGTTTAGAGTCGGTCATTGAGGCTAAGCACAAAGCGGAAGGAGGTGCTGGAAACGCGCCTGCAGAGGACGTACTCGAGTATGATGTGAACAAATACCACGTTTTCAGTTTTCGCCAGTGCCTGAAACTGCTGAACAAGTTCCGAGTGGCAGCGGCCATTGAGCGAGAACGCGACATCTTGCAGGGAAGAAGGCAGAAAGCCATGTCAAGGTTGCGTGGCGCCAAAGTCTTAGCCAGCTTAATGGGCGGTGGAGCTGCTCAAGAGGGAGGAGGTGGGAATAAGCCTTCTGGAGGTGGTCCTGGGGGACTACTGGGTGTGTTGAAAGCTGCAGCAAGTTCTAATAAAGATACAACTTCTTCATCTAATAAAAATGTCGTCGTTGTCGGATCCTCGAAGAGTCTGTTGGGAGTGTTTAAAGCAGCTCATAAAGCCACCAGAGACGAGAAAAAGGAACAAGATCGCGAAGCTTCTGTCGAAGGTGGATCGCCTGCAGCGGAGAATGAATAAGGATGATAAGATCTGGCTCTTTTGCGGGAAACAGCAAGAGGAACGGCTGAAAAAAATAGGACGTACTTCTACAGCTTGAAATGTGGTCACGAAATACACAAGACTACTCAGAATTCATACACGTTAAATCGTATCAAGGACGAGGCAAAAAGAGAAAACATAAACACATTACCTAGAACATTATTCTTGTAACCATTACTTTGGAAAATTCAACAGGGGAGAGTATTCTGATTTTCAGTTTATTCAACACTTACAGTTACACTTTATACTCGTATCTATTGAGATTTTAGCTACTATTAAAATGTGAAAGTCCGTGACCGTAATCTCGAAGTATTCTTTCAGCGACACCGAAGAATCAGCATTCTAAGATAGCAATAATTCCTTTCAATATCAAGATCAACAAGCATATTCGTATTCCACTTTGACTTTGCCTTATTCGAATCGAAACAAAGCCAAAGCTGCAAGCACGCAATCTCCGCCTAGCTGCATTTAATACTTTCTTAACATATCAAACTGAATTCGGGAACTACAAACTCAAAAAAAAACCTACTTCTTTGAATCTTGTACTTATTTTTTGGGAACAACAGTGCCAGTGGTTGATGCTGTCCTGCTCCTGTAGAGGAGCCTGTACCTATTACTTAACTTACTTGATGGGGGTAAATCTGGTGAATCTTCATTTACTTACCGAGATTTTCATCAGACCTTGTTGTAAGTAACATTTGGGAAACAGTGAAATTCTACTTTCGGGAACAAAAAGAGAAAAAAGTCAGACAAGCCAAGCCAGTAGAAGAAGACGAACTCTCTCGGGCTATAATCTTATTCATGATCACGGAAATAATCTTGTGTTCATCGTCGAAAGACAGCATGTGGACGCCGTTCATGCAAAATCCTTGAAATACCTCATGAGCATGAAGATCCTCCAAATTCTGAAATGTGAAAGAAAGCCAAATCCACACGAGCAAACAAGGAATCACCAAAGTTCTGATTGCGCTATGACAAAATCTTTACGACGACAAGATCATGATCATCTTGGCTTACTTCTAAAAGCAAGACGATGCAAAGCTCTTCACCGGTAATCAGAATTCGTATGTTGTTGACCATGACGATTACGGAGGATGCATGATACGCTCTTGGAGCAGCAAAACAAGCAAAATGAAAATCACGAGTCACATCAACATCTCTGCCTCTGATTCTTGCATTCGTCCCTATTGGACGAATTTTGGGTGGAGTGATGTTTTACCAACATCATCACACCAAAAACAACCTGTTGTAGTATCGTTCCATCTCCCTCTCTTCACTTCAGAAAAAGATAGATTAGAAGTTACTCTCTGTAGCTTTCTTTATCTGTTTTAGCAAAAATTTCTATCGAACAAGTTCCTTGTTTTGATTCCCCAAAAATTTCTTTTAAGTAATCTACAACTCAACGACTACTATCTAAAAGTAATATCTAAGTAATCTACTTATTTACCCCCAACAACAGAAAGCAAATCCAAAAAAATGTCGGGCAAACTCGCAGTCTTCAACCTCCCAGAGGATGTCAGGGAGAACGAGGTCGAGGAGCTGTTTTCCAAGTATGGTCGCTTGAGCCGATGCTGTGTGCGTCAAACTAAGGGTGGAGACACTATGGCGTTCATCGAATACGATGATCCCAGAGATGCCGAGGATGCTAAGGAGAGCAGGTACTACCTCTACAAACGGTTCAACATAGCCTGAGCCTTCTACGGAGTCAACACATTTTGTGTACTTAAGAACGACAAGCACACCGCATGTACAATGAAAACGTAAACTACAACTTATGATAGTTGTAGCCCCCGCTCGACAAACCCATGGAACAAATGGATTTGGATGCTAGACTAGAGAAATGAAACGGACTTCAGGACTCTCTAGACTAGGTTCAGGACTTGAAAATGTTGATCATCATGATTCTGATGGGGCACGTCTGTGTGCTCTCAATGCTGCTGCTGGCTGGACGCGGAAACTATGGGGTTGCCATAGGTCCCATACTCGTAAGACAAGCTTGTAACATCTAGCATTTGAATTTGAAGATAAGTGGAAGAACAGCCTGTGATCTGTAAGTAGTCTACAAAAATTTTATACCCTTCGGAAGTGAACTGTAGCTACACTCACATTGGTCATATCTTCTGTAAATCCTCTTACAAAAGGTCCTCGCTTGCTCCTTGCGGTTGCTTGCGAGCGATTTTTTAGGGAAGGAGGGAAGGGAGGGATGCTTGGAATTTAAAGTCGTAGCTAATAGGAATGGCCTTAATGGATCTGGATATGCATTTGGATGTCCCGGTCGTTGTATGCGAGCCTCGGACCTGTTTCCTTCAGAAGTGTTTAATAGGCGTGGTTGCGCGCGAGCGATAAGGATAGCCAGAGCGATAGCGATCATTTCTGAGTGAGGATGGTCCTCTGCAGTGCACAGGGAAGGTGGGAAGTGGATTCGTTTTGCTTCCTGCTCCTCAGCATGCTGGTCTGCAAGTGCTGCATTCTGCTGCTGGATCAACCTCCTCGTCCTGCTCTTAGCCTAGAACTAAAGATTGCCTCAGGGATGGTGTGCCATAGCCTCAGGATCAAAGGAAAAACTAGTGAGGATGGAATGCTGAGGCTTACAGAATAATGGAATGACGGATGGATCCTTTGTTGTAAGAATGGAAGGGGGATCGTGCAAATCAAATGCTTCTATGTACAACACGTGAAGAAGAAGATCAGCTTGCGATGGTTGTTGCTTAGGAGGTGGCAGCCAGCGCATCAAAGGCAAGAAGTAAATTACACATGATGCAGGCACTTCATTGACTTTATTCTAGTGCAGCAAACTTCTTTACCACACGACTAAACAACTACTTCATTACACCAAACTACACGTCAGTTTTTTCCTCCTCCAGCATTCTCCAGGTACTCTTTTATCACCCGCCCTCATCCATCTCCATCACCCAACTAAAACACCTACATAGACACGGATACGAATGGGAAGACCGCAAATTGCGCGTTGAGTTTTCGCAGCCGAAGGGCAAGGGCAAGGACCGTGGTGACTCTCGCCGCCGTGGACGCCGCGACTCCCGTCCGTCCCGTCGCGACTCTCGTCGTCGTGACAGCCGTGGGCGTGGAATGAAGGGCAAGGGCAAGGGCGACTTCAAAGGCAGCAAGGGAAAAGGAAAGGGACTGCGTGACTCGTACTCTTTGAATTTTGACTTCAAACTGCTTGACTCCGTAGAGACGAAGACGAAGTACTAGATATGATTTGGATTTTTTACTTCTCTAAATATACACATGTAGATGGACCTCGGTCATTTGAGCTTTTTACCCCTGCTTGTCGTAGGAGTAGAATTCATTACACTATTAGCAACGCCAAAGGAAAAATTGGTCTGGTAGATTATCTTGTATAACTTGTATGTGCAACATCATGTGACCAGAACCTTTTTCATTCCATGATTGCATCTCGATCCATCCACTTTTGCATCTCTGCCCACAGGTACCACAAGGTCGAGGTCGTCGGTATGCCTCCATCCGCTTCTTGGCAAGATGTGAAGGACTTCCTCCGCAGAGCTGGCAACGTCCGCTTCACTGACGTCGATCCGGATCGTCGTGATGTTGGCATCGGTGGCTTTGAACGTGAAGAAGAAGCTCGTGCTGCTGCTAAGGAATTGGATCAGCAGACGTTTACTGCGAGAGATGGTACTACTGACTCTGACTTCTAGTGCTACTTGTTCTGGATAAGTAAGTAAGTTAGTACATCTAGATTAGATAGGTTCGATAGATATAGATCTAGAAAGAGTAGAAGATATTCACAGTTGATAGGAAGGTTAGCTTCGATATTTTTGTTGAAATCATCAGAATCAAATTTCGTGCTTTATCGTATGATGTTGTATTTACAACCCGGAGCAAAATGAGCACCAGAGAACGTCATTTACACGGATACGGAGTAGATCGCACTCTTCTACTACAAGAACAATAGAGGAACCGGAGTATGATCAACTCACACCATCAGAATCAACTTTTTCAACAAAATCATTTCGTTCCCAACACCTCCTACAGGCGAAAAGGCCCGAGTTGATGTCGTCTATGTCGACCCGAATTCCGGCAGTGGTGGTGGTGACGACCGCAAGCGATCCCGCTCTCGCGGCCGCGACTCCCGCAGCCGTGGACGTTAATTTTTACCCTACTTCGCTGTAGTGGAAATTTTTTCAACCACAAGATGCTGTGAAGAGTCATCAAGGAAGAAGTAATGATACTAGTTGTGACTTCTACGTCTACCTGCACCAGCAGAGATGAACAAGTAGAAGTTACTTACTACTACAACAACTGAAGAGTACAAGGAAACGCTGTTTTGAAGATGTTTTATCGACAGCGGACCGTGTCTGTGTGTCGCAGGAGACAGAAGATCAGGAGAAGCCGCTGTTTTTACCGTAACAAGAAGCAGGGGTGGGGAAAGAACGCTGCGACAACTAGAAACATATCTTCTATGAATCATGATATACCAGCATGTCAATCATGTCTTATATCATCAATGTTACCAAAAATTTCACTTACATCTTCATGACTACTTGCGCCAGAAAATATAGATATTGGGTACTAGATTTATGCATGATTGATTCACTACACACAGACATTGATTTGGATTTGCGACGACTCAACTGACTTTATTGGATGACCTGCGATTACGATTTTCCGAATACTTAGTAGACCTTACTAGGTACTACTGCTATGGAAGAAGAATCATAATATTGAACTTGAATTTGAAAGTAAGGACAAAAATTTATCTTGTAAGTTCTCGAGCAAGGATGTTGAAAATGCTGTGGGCGCGCTCCAGCAGCTGCTCGTTGTCGTCGAGAAAACGCGGCGCATTCGGTCTCTTAGCGGCTGTTCACTACCGAGGGAAAAAAAATCTGCCGGTTCACATAGATCTTTCATAAAATGGGGTATACTCGTGAGCGAAGAAGAGCACTACGGGAGATTGTACCTAGTAAGAGTGAAATGAGGCGAAGGACTGACTCTGCGATATTGAAACTGAGTTAGGACTTCCAAAAATTTTCTATCTTAGGATATTGATCCGAACAAATGAAAATGGCTTCTAGTGCTCCATCAGACTCATCACGCGGCGGCGTGGACCTCGAACTTGTACCAGCCAGTGCCAGCTCTACTGCTGCCCCACAAACGGCTGCACAGGCAGTCTCCCTAGAATCCGGAGCACTTCGTGGCAGCAACAGCTCCGCGACATTTCCGCCACGCCCCGTAGCCGAAACCACACCAGCAAACAAGCAAGGCGGAGGACCCTCCAAATGTTACACGTTCTTCATGATCGTAGCGTGGCTTATTCTAGCGGTGAACCAGATATGCGCCAATCGACGGTTTATGCGCGTCCTAGGATCGGACCCAAGCTGGAAGTTGTCTTTATGAAGAGAAATTTTCCTGGTTGCTTGTCTGACTAGGTGTAGGTGTAGAGATGAGAAACGGTTCCGCAGAAGTGTCATGATTTATAAATTGTTGGACAACGATGATGTGGAGAAATATGTTGTCGCTGTGCTAATTGTAGTCGAAAACAAGAAGTATAATCGTGGTCTTTGATGAATTTGATGCGAAAAGTAAGTAAAATAGAATTTTCATGCCTCCAGCCTTCCGTCGCACTTGCCGGGTCGTTCCTGCTGTGCTTGATGCTGTCGCTTTTCACCGACCGCTTTCGTCCGCATTTTCCATGCTGCATTGTACGTCTTTGGACGAAATGCTGTGCCTGTCGTTTTCGACGAGGACAAACGCGAAGCAACAAGGGAGCACAGACCGTCGCGGACGACAAACGAGAGGAGCTTTTGAAGAAAGAGGGACCACCTACTTTGAGGAATGACGCAGAAGAGGAAGATCGTCATGTTTTCGAATTCATTGAGCTCACGTCGAACAGGGGATCGTCCACAGACGGCGATCCTTCTTCTAGTACAGAAGTTGTGGAGCAGCATCAAGCACCAACTCCACCTAGAAAATGCGGTGCCGGTGCGTGGCGGGCCTACATAATTCCCGGATTAGCATTGCCATTGATCCTTGCGACTCAGAAAAAGGCAAACCATTTGAACCCTGGCTCGCCCTGGCGAATGGAGCCACTGCTGTGTTTGTGGGTTTTTTTGTATGGCCAATGGGTGAAGCGGAGATCAGCGATGGAAGTTATGGATGTTGTTTGAGTTGATGCAATTAAATAGGCCCCGCGACAGTTTCGGAATTCTGATCTGGGCAGCATAAGCATTCCACTCCGTGGCCAAATGCTAGAATGCCAATGACACTCCTGAGCTATAATTTACGATAGCACTGGAATCATACTTACCAATTCGTCTTGCCTTTGCACTCCTGCAGCACCTCCTCTATAAGATCCAAAGCAAAAGAAGCGCTCGCCAAGCAAGTGGCTCCTGCGCACGACCGCGGCAAGAATATCAATAACTCCGCTAGTACCGAGGACGGCGCAGTACTAGAGAGCAGCACCAGGCTACAGCCATCAGACTTTGGTGAGATGTTCGTCACCGTGGAGTCTGCCGATGATCTGCTGAGTACTAGCTTTGACGTCAGCACGTCTACGTCTAGGACTGGCGAAGGAGCCGTCACGCCATCCACCATGAGAGGAAACTTCATGCAGGGCTATAGGAGACTAGTCGATAGACTGAGTGCCCCGACGTTGAGCTATGCTACCGTGCCACCGGATGCTCATTACGGCAGCTACATGTTCTAGGATTTCATGTTCTAGGATTTCTCCTGAGCATCTCCACCTCTAACCTACAGCTCAGCAAGGGTCTTCTGGTGGCGCGCTACAACTCGAAATGACTGACGTCAATCAGAGCTCGAAGACTACAGCAACGCAAAGCGAAGAAAAGGAGCCAGGAGAACCTGCAGTCGTGCACAAAGAGACGAAGCGATTGAGCTTTGTCGCCCTAGCTCTTGTCATAGTTGGGGGTTTCGCGTCTGCCTGGATCCATCATGAGATCTCGATCTTCCATCCGCAGCATCACATTATGGAGATGGGAAGAAAATTATAGCTAATCTACTAAATTATAGACTTTCTACTTGGGACGAAAAGTATACATTGAACCCCTTTCATGCAATAACACAGCGAGGAGTGGTCTCACGTTTTCGAGCGGACGGAGAAAGATCTTGCGATTTTACGCGAGGAAAAGCGGCGCCAGAGGGTCGCAGCCTATTTCCGAAAGCGTGCGGCGCGCTTGGGGAGTCGGGGGGCTGAGGATGCTGACGAGCTTCAACAAGTGGAGGAGAGCGAGAGTAACGCAGATGAACAGCAGTTGGTTGAAAATTCAGCTCTCAGCAAGAGTTTACCCAACATTGGAGCAACGCGACTACAAGTCAGTGACTCGGACTCGCCAAAAAACCGTGGTCATTCCTCGTCAAGAAAGGGGATGCGTCGCTCATCCTCCGACGTGAGTCTACAGGTAGCTGCTGCACGTGCAAGGCATCAAGACGACGACTTATTTGCGAACCAACTTCTACACACCAATGCCAATGCCAATCCAGAACTGCCAAGAACAATGCCAACCTCTTCCTCTTCCTCCCTCACAAGTAGAACCTCCACCAAGTACAAAAAGCGTACCAAGTCTGGCGCAAACTATGATTCTGGCTTAGAGGATTCCGCCGATCTGCATTGGGGTGACCTCTCTTTCTCGGATCCAGAGGATTCCGAAGACGAGTCGGAATTTGAGGCCTTCCATTGGCATGCGGCGGTTTTCAAGCACTTGAAGGCGCACTCCAGCATCCTTGGCATTTACGAGATTGGCCCTCACAACGCAGAGTTCGTGGGCATAGTTTTGGCGGTGATCCATTCGATTTGCCAAGCAGTGTTTCTCGTAGCGTCAAAGAGTGCATTGTCCACGTCGGCTGCGTTGCTGGCATCGACGTCGGGGGGCGGGGTGGAGTTATGTTGATGGGTAGTGGATATTGGTATTGCTAGCTAGTATTCGGCAGCTGTTGAAGAAACATCAACTAGACGTGGAATTTGACTCTCACGCCCATGAGCACTAGAATCTAGATTCAGATCCACTTTATTTACCACGATCCGACTTGGCGCAGTTGTCTTTGTCAGAATATGACTCTTCATCTTTGAGATTACACTATCAGTTTCTTGATAGTCTATGTCTAAGGTCCTCTACATGCTTATTTACCACGAACCTCTCTCCCATATCTCCCATATCTCCCATACTTGTTTCATCTCCCCAAGAGGGGCAAAACAAGATTAACCTTCCTGGTCAAGGGTTCGCTACCTCTTGCTGGATCGGGATGCTCTTCAGCATGTCGGTGGATTGCGCCGTTTACCTGAACGAGCACACAGACGAGCATTTAGAACGTCAGATAACCGACTCCGCAGAGATGGCAGGCACGAAAACACCGAAAGGAGGAGGACTAGGTAAAGGAGGATCTGCTCGTGGTGGGAGTGGTGGAGGAGGAGGTCAAGGAGGATCTGGTGATGGGAGTGGTGCTGGCTCAGGTGGAAGCGGAGGCGCTTCTTCGAGCATGTTGAAGCGCCTAGGTAGCGTAATGAAGGCTGGGAGGGAAAAGGGTGCAATAACACCTTTGACTTCGAGTCGTGGAGTCACTACAACAGGTACGTCTGCTGCTTCTAGTAGTCATCTTCGTTCGGGGATGTTGAAAAGTACCCAGAGTAGCGCTGGAGCCGGACCTCCAGGTGCGGCACGACAGGTTGCAATGCATATTCAAGATTCGGCTCTAGTTGACAGATTTGCTACAGCCTCTTCTAGTACAAGACCGACACCTTCCAAGAGTGAAGATGGCGCACCAGCTGCAACTGTTCCTGCGTTGTACGGTGCTGGAAATGCTCCAGAAGCAGGGGCGGCACCTCCATCAGCATCTCCATCTGCCTTTGAAGTTGTCCCACCACCTCCACTGCGACCTCTAGCGCGACGTCAGCACGTTTCCAGTGCCTTTCAGAGGAATTCCAAAGTCTCTTCTCTTGCGATGAGAGACGACGATAGCGACGATGGAGCAGGTTCTTCAGGCGGATTGAATGAGCCGGGAGGAGAAGAAAGACTTGAACAACTTCCACCGCAGAAGATGAACCAAGACCAACAAGAAGTAGTAGAGGGCCCTCTCCTCGTGCAACACCTGCCGCAACAAGATGGCCTAGAAGATCGTCCTCTTGAGCAACCTGACGATTGGGTGGATTTGCCGGGAGAAGAGGAAGATCTTGCTGGAACCGGCTTGCCTGCAAGAAAAAGCTGGGAGGAGAGTCATGGAGGAATCTACTACGATGTGGGCGGAGAAGATGTAGCATCGTCACGGCTGAGGGAACTTGTTGCTGAAGAAGATGTTGTGGACACCTCATCGCAAACCGGCGCGACAAGTAGGCCTCCCGCAGCAGCTACAGCAGGTCGAAGGATCAACCCTTTTACTGGTAAACCCGTGGGCTCATCCGGGGCTCCTGCAGGCTCTTTTGGTTCATCTCGCACTCATGCACAAGAACCTTCACCAGCGTTAGTACCAATAGGTAGCACAGACGGCCTAGCCACCACGACGTCTGCTCTTACAAGTTCAACAGGTAGTGCCGTTAAAAACCCATTCCTACCCGGCGTAGGTAGAGGAACTCGCCCAAAGCCTGGCGGCTTATCGAAGTGGAAAGTAGTGCAGAAAGCCATGGCCGAAGGAGATTTGACGAAGAAAAAACATGCGGAGAAGGTCAGCGATATAGTTGAGCATCTGATACAGCAGAAGAAAGCAGAAAAACAAAACAAGAAGATGTTGAATAGTGCTAGTCCTAAAGCGGGATCTGCACCAGCTGCTGTTGCATCTGGGGGACCACAATCATCTTCCCAAACCTTACATTAAGGGTTGGAAGTTGACCTATCATCTAAGAGCACCTCTATGGCTTCTTCAAGTAGGAAAGCCATAGATATGCGAGCTAGAGATGCCAACTCTCAGCCTCTAACTAGAGTTGTCAGCGCAGTCATCTACGGAACATACTCTTCAGCAACATCAAGACGCATCTTCCTCAGCGACTCCTGGTGGAAATGGCTCTCCTAGCTCTCCTGAGGACGTGGATTCGTGGACACATTTCCGGCACTGGATACGCTATTACCTCCTCGACTGGATGTGGATGACAGGACATGCGAGTGTGGCTTCTTCTGTTATGCTTGAAAAGGGGACAGATATTGAAGTGAGAGCAGGAGCACGACAGCTACACACCTTGTAGTTGATGCCTTACCGAGACCGACTCTGACTCTGATGTAGTATAAGTGAGTAGGAACAATACACGACTCGGCAACCTGAAGCGGTCTACCTCTCTCTTCAACCTCCTTACCTTCTAACTCTCTCTTCTTGATCTTCTTCTTCCAGTATGCTGCGAAGTTTTGGCTTGTCAACACCTTGGACATGCTGAATATGACCATAGTCGAATCCTTCAAGATGATTCTCACAGTGATCTTGGTCACCTTGTTTCTCACGCCGAAGGCTGCTACTAGTGGTGGAGGCCGCTCAGGTGGAGAAGTTTCTGGGAGTGCAGGAGCGGCTGGCGGGTCGTCATCGGCGGAAGAGGAAAAAGGTACAGCCAGTTCTTCTAGTCTTATCACTTGTTTTCGTTTCTGCTGCATCGTCTCTCATATGTTCATGCTATTCCAATCACTTATTTCCCATCTTCTCACCCCAAAAATTTTAGATTACTTCGTCGTGTTCCAACAGCAACTGCAATATCATCCTACTAATGGTTGTTCCATATGTAGTTTATGCTATTCCTAGTTGTTCCTTTATTTTCAGCCGGCGTCGTCTCCGAGTTGCAAATCCTAGCGTGCATGATCACGGTTGCCGGTGGTGGCTTGTTCAAGATTGCAGAGCACTATGAGAAAATGATCCACACGTTGCACCATGAAAAGAACGCAGTCCGTTTGGAAAAGACCGCACTGCAGAGACAGAGAGATGGCCTTCAACTGACCTTGGAGACATTGGCGGATATTGCGACCAGATCGAAACAAGCGAGTTATGAATACATGCCCAGAAAGCGGGCCCATCAAGGGCCCGCTGCGCTGGGCATAGGTTAACAACTAGACAGGTTGACTACTAAGAGACAGAAAGACAAACGAAAAAAGCCGCCAAGTCTGCTCGCCAAGGCTGGGAAGCTGACTCCCACTGTGGCGAGGCTAGTGGGGAGGCTACCGCTATGGCAGGCTACTGCCTTGGCCGACTTGCTTGCTAAGAGCAAGCCAATGGGCGCCAAGGCTGGCCCGCTGAGCGTCATGGAGTCCATGAGAAGGCCACGCCTGGACATATCTATGTAGGCACAGAGGTTGGGCCTTTTTGAGTGTGATCATGTCCAGGAGAATCCTGAAGCATAGCATACCCATGGGATGGCAAAAGGCTGACACTGGCGAGCGTCATGGACGAGGCCCATGAGAAAGCCACGCTTGGGCATATCTATGCGCAGAGCCAAGAGCTGGGCCCCAACCTTCAGGCGCGGGGATGTGTCTATAAGGTTGGCCGTTTCATGGACATGACACAAGACGCCCACCACGGTCCGCGCCTCAGACATGCAATGGCCCACAGTTATCATCCTCACACACAGGCATCGACGGAGATGCATGCGCCTGGCCTTCTCATGGACATGATGACGCCCGCCAGGGTCCACCCTTATCCACTTTCTCACAGACATCGACATCCTCAACGGCTTCGACTTTCGCAGGCAAATCTGTAGACCTTTGGCCCTCTCATGGATATGATCTGACGACGCTCACCAGGGTCCACCCTTCAGACACGCAAGTGCTCAAGGCTATCACTCTCACAGACATCGACATCCTCAACGGCTTCGACTTTCAAACACAGAGATGTACATCTTTGGCCTTCTCATGGATATGATGACGCTCACCAGGGTCCACCCTTCAGACATGCAAGTCCTCACGGCTATCATTCTCACAGACATCAACATCCTCAACGGCTTCGACCTTCACACGCAAACTTGCACACCTTTGGCCTTCTCATGGATATGATGATGCTCACCAGGGTCCACCCTTCAGACACGCAAGTGCGCACGGCTATCATTCTCACAGCCATCGACATCCCCAACGGCTGCGACTTTGAAGCGCCGCGATGTATGTCTTTGGCCTTCTCGCGAATCAATATGATCACGCTCGTCAGCCTCTGCCTTTTCAAGTGCTCACCTTCTCCCTTACAATTCTCCCGCTTTTGTGCTGGTTAGAAGTAGACTGGTCAACCATCTCCAAGGGCTGCCGCGCGCTCCTGTGGTGTGCCGTGGTCGATTGCTGTGCGCGGAAGGTAGTCGCGGAAGGGGAGCGAGCTAACTTTTTTCCAAAAACTTCAGGGAGGTCGTTCAGTTTTCTCTGTATTTGAATGACCTCCCTGAAGTTTTTGAAAAAAAGCAAAGGCGTCGGGCGATATATGACAAGGGTAGCGGTTGGAAGTTCGTCGGGGCGATTCGCTAGGGGTGGGCGCGTAGTGTCTTGCTGCAGATGTGGCTGGTGTACGTGAGTAGCCTACAAACTAACAGCCGCGAACACGTTGGCACGTTCTTGACACTTTTGGACTCGTAGCACTAGCAAGGTCCTTAAGGAGCCGCTGTTATTAGCCCAAGTTTATAACAGCTTGTCCTTAAGGGACCTCCTTAAGGGAATTTTTTTCTTCTTAAGGAAAGTTATAATAACTTTTTATAATAAAAATTCCTTAAGGAAACTGATTTCCTTAAGGAAGCGCCTTAAGGAAGCTCCTTAAGGGAGCTCCTTAAGAGATTTCTGGGAATTGCTAATACTATAAATACTAATATTCTACTACTACTACTGCTGAAGGAGTGAGACAAGCACTTTCCTTCCTAGATCAACTTACTTACTACGAGGGATCATTCCAATTCCGACAATGTTCTTCCCGTGACTTATTGCTGTTCTGCTCTAAGCCAAAGGTTCCGCGATGTCGATTCCTCGAGGCAGCATTGCATCTATCGCCCCAGGGGGAACGTCTACTAGTATGCCGAAGGGTCGCGAAACCAAGGCCATTGAAGAAATCGAAATGACAACTACGGGAATTTCTTCAACTTTTCACGACACGACAGGCGGGGGGACAGGAACAGGATCATCAGGAGGCCGTTTAATAGAAGGACAACATAAGCAAGATTTCTCTTCGTCCTGTGATTATAGAAGTGGTGGAGAAATAGAGTTGGATGAACTAAGTAGTCGAGGTAGAGGCAGCGTCACAACACCAGGCGGTACAAGTTGTGCTGGTCAATTGTTGCTGGAAATGGACGACATGACGGGGTCTGGTTCAAGGAGCAGCATCGGTAGTAGTTCGTCGAGCTCTGCATCTACTGCTCGTCGAAGTAAGAGTACTAACTCAACAAAAAAGACCGCGAACAGGAGTAAGGACGCGAAACCGACATCGAGCTTTCTAATAGAGTATGCTCATGCCTAGGATGAGCGGAAGACAAAGGAGCACAACACGTAGAAAAATCCGCCTTTGGAAGAATTTACTGTGAGCTTAGTGCGTCGATACAAACTACACCAGCAGTATTACTAGCACAAGTAGTAGTATGTTCATGAAAATGTAAAATGAATCGATTGAATACCTTCAGAGCTAGGACGAAAATGTCGAGATGGCATTATGTTGAATCTGATCTCAGTGAATGCAGGGACATCAGAAGAAGATCGTCCGCAAATTTCAGGCGATGCTTGCGACTAAAGGAAAACTCGAGGAGACGCTTCACCAGCTACGATGACGGCATCAACACGTAAACTGAGAGTACTAAGGAGGTTGGAGAGAATGAGTTTGATAGAAGTAAGTAGAGAAAAAGGAAAATACGTTCTTGCTGTAATGAAAGACGCACTCACACCAAATAATTTTTCTGGACATCGTCCATGTTCAAAACCGCAACTGTTGAACATGAAAACAAAAGCGCAAAAAACGTTGCACAGTTCTTGAATCCATCCATAGATTCGAAGACAAACGCAAATTCTCGATAGGAACAAATACAGGCATCATCATGCACCTGCGATAGGCATGCCCATGCGGTGCTGCCAGGAGTGTAGCCGCTTGCTCACTCTTCTGTGGCATGATTTCTTCTTCTTCATCGTCGTTTGATTCCTTCATCTTGTCGTCGTTTGATTCCTTCATCTTGTCGTCGCAACCTTCACCAAAATGAACAGCCCTCCGGAGGATGACCCAGAGTACACGCGCCAGGTAGCAGTACTCATCGACAACCTTATCGAGGAATTGCAAGTGTCTTTATGGCTGAATATGAACTTTCTCCTGACATCTACTTCTTGAGCACGACTAATGCACACAAAAAATGCGCATATAAAGGATAAAAAGGAAAGACCTTGTTGATGAAAAGAAGTCAAAGCCGGGCGCGGCTACAACATATAAAAACCACTATCAAGGAACACCTAGGAACAAACCTAGTATATATACGTCCTATTTCTCGCGCTGTGCACTAGTTTGGTGAACCGGTACCCTGGAGCGAACTAGTGGGTGCACATAGCGCGAGAACCGAGCACTTCTCTGAGGCAAGCACAGGCCCCGGCCGCCTCCGATGAGAAGACCTCCAGGGCTGTTGGACGACACGCGGCGCCTAGAATAGACGGATCCTACCTAGCTTGGCCATTACTATAATTCTGTACTCATATATCTTTTACCTACTATCCTTCCTTTTTCTTCTCCTAGTTAGCTTGGCTCCACCCGTACTATTAAGTGTAGCAGATCTAATAGAAGATGCACCTTGCTGGTAGCATATCAATCTCTTCTTCTAATCTCCTGTTACGCCAAAGATCGTGACAATTTCCTTCTCACATGTCGTTGTGTCTGCGAAGTCCTTGATGCAGCAGGGAATCGTTTAGAGATATGCGAGGTCTTTGGGAGTCGGAAGGATGGCAAAGAGCAACGTCCGAGCGTCCGGTTGGGTAGGCTCTATGGCCTGTTGGAAGAGGTACTTTCCCCTACTATTTCTGAGTCATCTTCGAATGCTCATCCGCCTTCACTCAAGACTGACTTAGACGATGAGCAATCTTGATCATCATCATCATCATCATCATCTTCTTCTTGACCGTCTCTTCTCTTCAACACTTAGGCTGCCACCGATCTCGATCCTACCTTGGCATCAACCGACAACGATTTCCAAACCCTGCTCCGCCACTGCGATGTGTTGTCGCGCGTGCTTCGGCGTATGGGCTGTCTGGTGCCCTGGGCTGCGTCAGATCCCTTCCCTGAGTCGAACCCTGCATGGTTTGATAAAGAGAAGGAAGAACGACGAAAGGGCAGAAGCCCAAAGAAGAAGAAGAGTGCTGTTGTTGAAGCGGAGCCAGCTGTAGTAGACCAGAGCCATGCCGCAGTGCGCCGAACGGATTATAGCAAAGCGGAGTATGTTGGTGACCATCAAAACAAGGGATCAGCACCGGCGACACCTCAGCAGTCGATGCCTCCACCGACTACGCTCTCTCCTACTCCTGCTTCTGCAACTGCGAGGACCGTCCATCACGGACTCGGACAATCTACTTCACAAATAGACCCACTCGAAGATGCTTTCCGTCGCTTGTTTATCCCATCCACGAGCAAGAACAGTCTTGAACAGCTACACGGTAAGACCTCGTCGAGTAGCAAAGGAGCACCTCTAGTACCTGCTGGATCGCCACCTCAGAATTTCCATCCTCCTAGCGCGCCATGGCTTGCCACGGAACACCTTGATGCTTCATCTTCAACAAATAAGCAGGTACCACAGGTACAGGGGAAATCTTCAATGCAACAAGCGCGTCAGCCGTACTTCTTTTATCAACAACCTGAGGCATCCTGCTCTACCATGCCAATATTATCGTCCAGACAAAGCTCGCCTCGTGGTCTGGGGATGGAGATTTCTGTCGCTGGTGCGTCCAAAAAATCTTCTGTTGGAGATGGAGTTCTACTAGAAGACTTGACTCGGAGTAGAACCGCTACAAAGAATAGCGAGATGACGGCTGCTTCAGTGACGACAACTTTGAACACTCGGAGTAGAACCGATACAAAGAATAGCGATATGACGGCTGCGTCAGGCAATGTGGCTGCTTCCGTTAACAAGATGAGGGCAAATAGAGGAAAGGGAAAGCAATTTGCTTGGGATTTCTTCGAAAAGGCTAGATCATTAGGAGACACCAAGCGATCAAGCACCAAGACAACAGACGAAGGCCGCGCGGTAGCAGAACGCCCTACGCGTCGACGCACTTGTTCTAGTAAGAAACAAGAGCCTTCAGTAGACGCAGTTGCTGTAAAGGAGCACGATCAAGAAGAGAAAGTTCGTCAAGCTGTAAATTGCGCTGCAAAGGAGCATGATCAAGAAGAGAAAGTTCTTCAAGCCGGTGTAAAAGCAAAAACAGATGGCGCAGAAGACACTTTAGCACTCAAACGGCTCCAGCATGCTCATGAGCAGCTAGCGGCTGAAATAGAGCAAATCCGTATGCTTCGTGATAGACGGATCGCTCCCTCACCTCCAGAATCGTCGATTGCTTTGAAATCTGTAGAAGGGATGGCTGTTTTGGAACAAGAAGATGATAGTGCTACGGAGAGAAGTGGCGAAGAAGATGATGATGATGATGATGATGATGATGATGATGATCCTGGTCGTTTCAGGCATAGACGTGCTGCAGATCGTCAAAAAGATGTTGAAGAAGTCGAAGAGGAGGTTGAGCTTGAGAACGAGAGGAAGGAGAAGGAGAAAGAACTACACCTAGGAAATGGACCACAAAATCCACGAACAGAAAACATCCTTCAAACCTTGCGTCTGTTAAGGGAGAAAAGGAGTCAAATCAAACGAGAAGAAGCTGCGCGAAACGAGACGAGGAACACCAAAGCTGAGCATCAAAACATCGTCACCAGGCTGAGGAGGAAGATGCAGGACGAGGCTTTACCAAGGCATCTTCAGCAATCAAAAGCAACACCTTCATCTTCTTCGTCTTCAAAAAGGGGTGAGGTTGACCGTCCATTTGATCCTCTATTGACCCCTAACTGGAGCGCTACCACATCAAAAGCCACCGTTGTTTCGAGCCGTAGCGCGAAGGAGGAGATGCAGAACTTCACTGGAAACTTCGCCACTGTGCCACCTCGACCACAACCGAAACAAGCTTCAACTTCTTCATCCGGAGGCATGAAAGCTACTGCCAAAGGCCGACCCCCGAAATTTGTGACGGACAGTCGTGTTCCACGGTTAAAGCTTGGTGGAGGGAAGACCACGGGAGCAGGTGGCGGTCACCAGTATCAACGAAGCGCAGGCAGCTCGAGTAAAAGAACCATGATTTCGACACCTGGTAGCAGTCCCACAGTGACACTAGAGAACTCAGTAGAACTTGCGTCCTCAACAAATGAAAACACCTACCACATCAAGTACAACAAGGTACCTCCAAGAAGTCCTCTAGCTGAAGAGGACCTATTCAACACTACGCCTGAACTAGATGCGGACCCAGTTTCAGAGTGGGGACCTCTAGTTTTTGCCTCCACATCACGGAGTGGTACGAAAGACACGGAACTTGTTGAGGACCATTACAGCTACTTAGGTTCCGCTGGTGCCGTATCCTCACCTCTCGACAACCTCTTAGAACTTTTCCGAGAAGGTTCACACGAAATGCCAGCGCCACGTCATGGAAGAAGCAGCATCTCTGGTAGTCAAACATCCATGATGTGTTCATCAGGGGATGAGATGGAGGAGTTGAACTACGGGGGAGGAGGTACTAATAAGAACAACAAGACATCAAGTTCCTCAACGTCGAATAGTACTTTCTGGAGTCGTTTACGGCCTCAAAGTGCTCGAAAACTCCTGGATGCTGCTAAAGCAATCGTGCCAAGACGACCGAAGACACCACAAGGTCAAAGTGCTTACGGCGTAAAGGCGTCGTTTCGGAGTGGAAGTACAACTGAAGACGAAAAGGGAAAAAAGCCTGGACGAGGAAGCAACATCTTCAAAGCTGCTAGAAATCGATCATCTTCAAGAAGAGGAAACCCACCTCCAACTTCCTCAGCATCTGTCTCAAGGAGTGCCAGTTGTCCTACTTCAGAGGATGACGATGTGAGACATGTCGCGGTCAGCATGACTGGAGGCGGCGCTCCCTTTTTTCGTCGTAGTTCATCTAGTACTAGAGCAGCTGGAAGAGGAGGGAGACAGTCGTCAAGTGCGGAGAGATATCAAATGTCTACTTCAGAAGATTATAGTGGCCTAAGTACAACAGAAGAGCAAGACGAGGATGAAGACGCTCCTGGTGGTCGCAGGACTACAAGGTCTTCATCGCGAAACATTCGAGGAGTAAATCACAATGGAGGTGAAAGATGGAAGCACGTTTCTGCTTCTCCTCCTCCGATTCTTGAAGAACAAGAATCTGAGTTTTCCAAGAAGAACAGAAATAACTCCTCTTCATCACGGACTCGGCCAAGCAGGCCATCGACTGCCGGAAGGTATCGCAATATCGAGATATTCAAGACTCGAGGGCGAAGAGGACGGAGAACGTCACAAACGAGTCCTCCGGGTACTAAAGGTAAACCCGTAGTTCACCAGGAGCACAGTTCTGGACTACCCCTCCCAGCCAACGAAAACGATGTCGATTGCCCAATCTCTCCACCAAAAGTAGACCTGAACGCAATGATGGCACAGTTAGGTGTCCTCTCTCCAGAATCCTCTCCCGATGGCGGTCGTGTCAGAAGACGAGACGAGCAAGCTTTGGAGGAGCATTCGAAACAACTACGGAAGTTGTTGGGTTCTTCTGGAGGTGGAACAGCGGCCAAGGAGCAGAGGCCTGATGACTCATTACCTGAGACTAGCGATGAAGGTGACTTACAAGATGATGATGGTGTCGTGGGAATAAAATATCTTCAAGATGAAGATGCTTTTGATGTAGACCGACATCTCCTAGATTTGGAACAAGATCTTGGTCTTGGTGAAGATGGTTCTGCTGGAGAGGAGGTGCCGGATCTTAGTGGCCTTCTCTATGCTACGACAGATGCAGGTTGCTCCTCACATGATGAACAGTTATCGAGTGCTTTACTCGCCGATCGTGGAGGTGGTGGGTCACATGTTGCACATCAAAGACCACAAGCGCTACCATCAAGAACATCAGCAAACCCCAAACCACTTTCCTCACGCACAACTCCACCTGCACCAAGTTCGTCAACTAGCATGATCGGGTTTCAGAGATCTACATCGAAGATGTCATCCTCTTCTATAGCATCTGCTGGATCACCAGGCTTTCCTCCAGGACCTGAATCTTCATCTGCTTCTGCACAACAACATCAACCTCAACCGGTCAACAACTGCCAAGAAGACGACCATACTAGTACACATCAATCTGTGCGCGCACCACCAAGACCCAAACGCAACGTTTCTGCTTCTCTTCGGCGAAATCGAGATAAGATCTTCATGATGGAGGGAGATCATTGCGCTCTACCGCCACCTCCTCCAAGAGGATCTGCTCAGGTTTCTTCAACGTCAAAGGTGAGCGCTGTTGAATCTTCAAGGGCGTCAACTGCACCAGCTGCGGACGAAGAGCATACAAGAACACGCAGTCGTCGCAAGACCAAGAAACACCTGAGTTTCTTCAGTCGAGATTTTCGATCACGCTTTGTGCCGTTCATTGACGCTTGCGTATCAAACAGGGCGCTTCGAGCCTTGCACCGGCGTACACCGAGGATGCGGTTGGGGAATTACTTGCTCTTTCAAGTTCACCGAGCATACTTGAACGACGAAACGCTAATGAGTTTGTCATTGGCTCAATTACCCATGTCCTTGGCTGAAGCACACCAGTTAGAACCTCGCATACTCCCCAAGCTTTTGCAGAGTCTGCAGTCGAACAGCCATCTGGAGAATCTCGATTTGCGTGGGTTGAAAGGAGACTCCTCGTCCTCGACTGAGGGCTCTTCTAACAACAACTCGCCATCCGAACAAGACGATCCTCATCCTCTCTCAACTTTTTTTGCCGCTTCCTTCTTTTCCGCTCTTGGTTCTGCCTTAGAGGCGAATAGCACTCTGAAGTACCTGGATATGTCAGGGAACTTCGTCATGGATGTGAGTACTTCAGAAGATCAAGGTTCCAAAGCAATACTCCCACTTCTGTCCAGCCTCTTCACTTTCGCAGACAGTCTCGCGCACAATTCTGGTCTGGAGGTCCTGAATATAGGGGAAATCGAAGATGTCACCATCGATGTGGATTTGAGAAAAACAGTAGAGGATGAGCTATTAAACATGCAGGAGAACAAAGACAACAAGTTCAACTACAACAATTAAGGCTGTACCTAATACATCTTTGGGCGCATCCTTGAAACGTATGGAGGAGTATCCTAAGCGAATACTGCCCCATACTTTTCAAGGATGCACTTGAAAGATGAGCTGCCGACAGCTCTAAAACAACATCAGAAGGATGAAGAACATGATGAACAACAAGATACTTTTTGAGGATCAACGGGAAATCGACCAGTTCCTCAGACTCCTCGTCGAAGAAGAAGATCAAATAAGTGCTGCAGTTCCGGATCTCGCCGTTTCCCTGTGGGAACGACGTCTAGCCTTCGCTTTAAAGTCGAACTCAACACTCCTCAAACTAGGCATGGTCTTCCACGACCGCTTAGCGAAAGAGGCAGTAGACGCGACTCTAGCTAGAAACCAAAAACTGAGGTTCCAAACACGGAGAATGCGGCTGTTAAGGTTTCAGGAGAGGAGGTTATTGAGGGAGTTGATGGTGGAAGATCTGGAAGAGGAGTGAATCTGCTGTTGCCGGTAGATGCGATGTGTCTATCAAGGATGCACAGAATAGAATGTCGAGCACGTCTCATCTGTCAGTTGCATACCGAAAGAACAGATTTTCAATCATTATTTGTAACTGTATTCATGATTTGTAACTGTATCAATCCAATCTACATCTAGTTCTACTAGTACTAGTTCTTATCTTCGTTGATTTTGACTTTGTTGAATTTCTTGAAATATGCTAGCTGCAGCAACTTACTAATTGTAATTTGCTGCATCTTGTTGTCGTTCTTGAATATAGAAGATTTTTTGCTCTTGATCATTTTGTGAGTATAGTTGCGCTCTCTTGAACGACCTGCGAAATATATTGTTGTCATAATCCACAAGACTAATTCCCTCATCGCGTGCCGGGAGAAAGATGCTTTTCATATTCATGTTCATTGATTTGACACGCCGCGCCCTTTGTTCCAGACTCAAGATGATCTTAGCCCTCTTCTTCATGTTCTACTGTACTGTAAAAAAGAAAAGGTACAGGATCCTGTACTTGTGATCATTGGGTTGTTCTATCATCGATCCACTGCATTTTGTGAGCAAATAAGAAAGATCCAAGTTCTGCTTCATCTGGTAAAAATAGTTGAAGATCTTCATCGTTCCGATTCTTTAAAGCCTTGTGCGACGAGTCTTTAAGTTTTGTTCTCTGCTTGTGCTTATTGATTGTGTACGAATTAATAACAAACTTTTTCATCATCTTGTTGAACGTTGACTGAGCATGTGTTTCTCTTTTTTGCATTACCATTCGTGTTCTTTTTCATTGTTCCAGGTTGATCTCCTATTTCAATAGTCGCCGGTATAATTGCATCAATTTTAAGGAGTTGTAATCACAACAAAAGATTCTCTGCGTACTTAAAGTTAAAGACAAAGACAAAAACTAGAGACAAAATGCCGGAAACTGCTATCATGACACCGCGTCTGGACAAGGATGACGAGCGAGTTGTGCGCATGCTCAAGCTCGATTCCGAGTACATGGACTTGGAAAAGGAGTACATGCGAAAAGTCGCCCAACTTCAACTGGAGTACACGAAAAAGCAAGAGCCATTGTTGCAGAAGCGCATGGAAGAAGCTGGTAGAAGAGCTTACATGTGTGTGATGATTAAGGCTCAACTTTCATTGGTCACAGGGGCTGGCCACTGAGTTCGAAGAGGGCCCACCCTTAGAGAACAGGGGAAAACAAAGCGGAAACAGGGAGAGGGGTGTGGGGCCCTTCCCGTTCAGAATCAGTGGCCGCTGTGTGTCGACCTTTAAGATGAGCTGAGTCATTTTTGTCTTCTTGGTGCTGCGACAGGTGGTTGTACACCATCATGAGAGAGGTCGTCCTAGTCGAATTCGATTTTTATGACCCTACTTAGTCGTGTCTCATTTTCCAATTCAGATGAATCAACCCAAAATAAACAACAGGTGAGGTCGAAGACTTCTGGTTGCACGTATTGAGATCACATCCTATCTTGGCGGACGAGATCCAAGAGTGGGATGTTCCAATCCTCAAGAAGCTCCGCGACATTAGAACAGAGGAAATTGAAGATTCCGATGGCTTGGGGTGCAGTGGTAAAAATTTAGTTAACATGATTTTTCTTGTTTGTCTTTGTTGAAAGATCGTTTCTTGAATTCTAAGACTCTACTCGAGATTGTTTGTCTTTGTTGATCATGAACGACTGCACAGCGACCACAGCAATTCTTGTACTCGTTGTAGGCATCCTGCTTTTTTGCCATCACCTCCATCCACTTTCAGGTTACAAGGTCATCTTCGAGTTTGAAGACAACGAGTATTTGGTCGAAAACACGCTTACCAAGTTTATCGAGACTGAATTTTTGTCCGAGCATTTGACAGAAGTTGCATGCAAAAGCATAAGGATGGAATCCGACATCCAATGGAAAATTGGTAATGATCATGTTCATGGTTTTTTATCTTGCTCTTGCTTATGCAACAGCTTGTTCTACTTTTTGAGCTTGACGAGTTTGTTATCATCAGACTGATGAATTTTAATCGTCTCGATCTCCTAGATGGAATACAGCACTCCCAGTACAAAAATTCTTGATCATCACATCCTTTTCATCCCCACACACACACACACTCACACAAGAACAACTTCCATCACCATATTAGGCAAAGACCCCACCGTCGAGTGGAAAAAGCCAAAGGCTGGCAAGAACAAGAAGGGAAAAGCGGCAGTCCCGAAGAAGGAAGCTAGAGATTCATTCTTTCGATCCATGTTTAGAACGATTGACGTCCAAAACTTAGACGAAATCAAGGATCTGCTGTTGAAGGCCGTTAGGGAGATGGGGTATTCATTTGGATTTGGTTGAGTTGGTCAAGATGTAGGTTACGGTATAGATACTAGAAGTTGTCGAAAATAATGGTTTTTTACATCACGAGGTTGTATGGATCCACCTCTTTACATGTTGCATTTACTACTTCTCTTCATGATGAATCATCGTACTTGTCGTATCTTCATCACAACTACACTGAATCTGAATCTTCTTTAACTACTTCCAATACCAAAAATTCAGCGCCGACCCAGAGGAGTGCGACGACGAGGAGGCTCTTGAGGAGATGTACGAAGAGGCGATCGAGAAAGTGCAAGATGACGCCTTCGAGATCGCTAACGTGCTCAAAAACAACATCATCCCTCATGCAGTGAAGTTCTACACTGGTGAAGCTCTTCCGGACGACAGTGATGCAGAAGATGAGGACGACGAAGATGAGGACGACGAGGACGAGGATGAAGATGAGGACAGCGAGGAAGGCGAAGACGCCAGCGAGGACGAAAAGAAGCACGCAAGCCCGCCAAAGGACCTCTTCACAAAGAGTGGAGCGGACCAGAAGAAAAACGCTGAGGATTGCAAGCAGCAGTAAGCGTATGCGTAGCGAAGCTCGTGATGACTTCGACGAAACGCAAATAGTTTCGTGGTCATTGTGGAGAACGAATGAAAGTGCCAGCTGCTGCAGCCGGGACCGGGTATGAAAAAACTACGAGAACGAAATTGACAAACTTATATCAAGGAAAGCTAAAGCTAAGCCAAAACCTAAATGTACTCCCGCTACAATACTCATCTTTCTACGTGATTACACCAAATATAATGAGAAGACGATGAAGTCTACTTGAATTGCATGTTGATCGACATTGATGTACCTGATTCTGCATCGTAATATAGCCGACGTAACTTACAAGGATTTTTTCGTCAAGCAAGCATGGCCTTTTTATATCGCTCCCTGTCGACATTTCTGAATGGATATGATGAAGCAGAAGCATCCGCCTGATGTGGATCCCACTTCCTGCCGCCAGCAGGAGGATGATGCTGATGGGATAGAAGTTTGAATTTCGTAATGGATTTGCGGCTTTTGCTACATCCGGCTTTCATCAGCAACAAGTGTTCTTGCGAGGAAGGAGTCGATATCGGTTCATTCTAAGAACAAGGTGATCATGATGTTGACGCTGACTGTACCATTTTTCGTCCAAGTAGTGGCATTTTTAGAAAGTCGTGATTTTTTGAGTTTTGGTTCGGGTTTGATTTTCAAAGAAGATGCTCTTGAAATATGCCCAAAAATGTGCGATGGTGCATGCAATTCTCTTCTAAACAGAAGTATATTGCTGTACTTCTTGCAGCATTAGCACCTCCTTCGTTTTGGTTCTACTCAACAATGCACTGTCTCCCACGCCCTGACTGTCTGAAGCCATGGCCCCTGAAATCAAGCCAGAAATCTTCTAATTCTAACTCGTTACTGAATAAATCAACATTTTTCTTGAGTTAGTAGTTTTGATGATCCGAAAGAAAATACGAAAATGACTCGCGCAAATAACCGAACATCATCGTCTTCTTCGCGACGACTCTCCCGATCGTTAGAGAAGGAACAGAAGCGTGCAAGCGTCTTAGCAGTAGTCGATGCGCAAACCCGCGAACTGCAGCGTCGTGACCGGTTACTGTGGCACCTGCTTTCGAAAAGCATGGACCCTCGAAACCGAGAGGTTGTGCGACATGCCGTGAGGGAAGCTTGGAACGGCCAGGACGATCGTGATGACCAGGCGGACGGGGAGGTAGGGTCCTCCACCAGACAGCACAAGAATAGAGGAAGTCATGATGCTCATACTAGAAGTGCTTCATCATCATCCTGCTCCCAGTCTTCACAGCAGGGACGAGATGATGGGCATGATGAGACGGAGAGTCACGAGGGCTTCGAAGTAGACTCTTTACTATCAGAATCCCTACATGCTGAACAAACGGAAGAATCTTGCTCTCCCAGAGGACAAGAACATGACAAGGTCGAGAGAGACGACTGTCGATCAGCCAAGCCTGCATCATTGAGCAGGCATGAAGGAAGACTTCCCGATAACAAGAAATCCTCTCAATGTCAAGACCGACAGCATTCATCAAGAACATTCGGTCAGTTGTTTGATTCGATTTTGAAAGACGAAGGTCTCTTCGGATGAAGATACACGACGGAGCAGAGAACAAACAGATCATGGAATAATGCCATGATGATAATAGAAATAGTGCGATTGTGTTCGTCGAGAATCAGTCGACAGAAAGATGTTTAATTGCTTTTTTTTAGCACCTAATTAGCGACACCGTAGAAAATAGACGAGGTAGACGAGGTGTGGTCTACTTCAGAGTCGCAATTTTCTTGTGTAGGCGAAGGTCATCTGCAAAGACGCAAAAAAAGCTTTCCAAGAATTCTGTGATTGGTGGATGTTTTACTTGTTGGGCTACACGGTATCTGTACTTGTATCTATTAATTCGTGGATTATGTTAAGGATATCCGTAGTTGGTCTTGGTAGCTTAAATTAGACAAAGAGATGAACTTGTAAATAAATATAGTGCATCAAACCATGTACGAGATTTTCTAGCTTCATCAGCAGTAGGCTACAACTCGTACGCACTCTACCTTTGTCTCGTCTTAAGTACCTAATTCTAGTTTGTTCTTTTTTTTGCAATGTTTACCTTCCTCAAAAATACCTGTCCCACCTCTACCTCTTCTTCGCAAATTATAAATCAAAATGACCTCTTCTTCATTGGATGAACTTCGGAAGCACATAGGTGGAGCTTATAACACAGTGACGACGTTTGCTGACGATACGCTAGCGACGTGGATCGTAGACCAAGACGCAAAAGGGGCCATAGTCAACTTCACTGGTGTCGCTATTTTGCTGTTTGTCTTCTTGGTTGTTCCAGCGATTAAAGAACAGTTTTCATCTAGTGGGGAAGGTGACGAAGAAGGAGGCGCTGCTGGGTCGAAGAAAAAGAAGTAGAGAAGCGACGCGGTGGATTGAGTAGTTCTGCTGGAAATAAAAATAGACGTCGAGTCTCTGAGAACTCTGGTAACTACATCGGAGTTTATTTAGCACAACATCATCAAGATCAACACGTTTCTAGTGCTAGCACAACATTTTCAACAGCAAGTTGGCACTTCTCGTCACGACCACGACAAGCATCTATTTCAAACGACTGGCTTTTTGTTAGCTGGGAAGGACAAGAATAAAGTTTGCAATCTGAAAAGATGCCTGCAGCAGGTGAGGGAAAGAAGCCGATGAAGGCGGCGAGTAGTAAGAAGAAGGCGGAAAATAAAGAAACGACTTCAGGTGGAGCAACAGAAGAACCCAGTTCTTCGACAGCAGCACCACCGGCGGCTGCGAAATCGATGAAACGAAGCGCTGCTGATACGACGGGGGATGAAGCGAGTGGAGAGCAAGCGTATTTGATGTTTCTTCGTTTCTTGTCATCGTAGTCTATTTTTGCTTGAGCATTGTTTCTTGTCATTGATTTCGATCACGAACTTTTCGACGTTTTCTCATCCAAACCTATTAACAGAGCAGCCGGTCCAGCCCCAAAGCAGGCTAAGGCCGCAGGACAGAAGAAGTCCTCAACGAAAAAGAAGTCCGAGAACAAAGGGGGCGCGAAAGCCGGTCCCAAAACCGCTGCGTCCAAGAAGAGTGGCAACGCAAATGCTTCGGCATCTTCATCAAGTGTAAACACCGGAGGAGCGCCAGGAGGGGAGTCAGATAATATTACGGCTACAGTGTTACAACTAAGTAACTTGTCGATGTTGGAGTCGTGGTCGTGATTATGATCGTTGTTGTAATTAGCCAGGTCTTGTTGGCGTTGTAAAGATTTTTTACAACTTGTAAACTTTACAGATTTGTTTCAATAACTACTTACACGCTCCTAAGTAATGCTTCTTCTAGTACTACAAGCTAGGTGAACCAAGAATCTTTGTCAACATCTTTCTTTTCTCTAATACTTGCGCAAAACTGGAGCTTCCAGTGGGAGAGCACCCAGAAGAGGAGGTAGAGGATGATGACGCCCATGATAAGAGCGCGAAGTCGGCGGTGCCAGATGGAATCGATCCAAAGTCATTGGGAATTCCACTTGACTGGGTGCGAATCAAGGCTGAAGGAGGAATAAAAGCTGAGGATACGTACGAGATGTCGAGTGAGGCAGAAAACAGCGATCACAGTCCAGATCGTGCGAACAAGACGATACCAAAGTGGTGTATTCTTTTCCTATGTATAAGCTTTTCTTTGACAGGAGTTGATATTTAATTGTTAGGTGGGCTACAAGAAATCCATCTTCACGTGCGTCCTGAGACCGTTTTCAAGGGGAAAAAGGTTCTAGGATGCGTTTCAAGATGGATTTCCCTTGGGTCTAATATTGATATCTTTTTTCAACAAGAATATCTTCTTCAAGCATGATTCATCACGATTACTCATTTTCTCATCCTCGCACACCCTCACCGTGCGTCCTCTTCACTCAGGTGAAAACTGGGTGAAAGTGATGGAATCACAGTCGAAGATTGATCCGGACACGGTTTTTGGATTCAATATGAAACGCGTGGATTTGCCTGAAGTGTTTCCAAATAGCACCAAGCTTCAACAACAGCAACAGGCAGCAGCTGCAGGCACGGGCGACGAAACGGATGGCGCAAGCAATAAGAGAGGTACTATTTTCGTACTATTTTTGTGTACGTAGTAAACTCGTGGTCGTATCATCCCTGACGGCTAGTGCATTAACATGAAAATCATGATCTTCATACTTTTACGAAAATACCTGTTACTAGTATCAGAGTAACTAACTAACTAACTTCTTTTTACGAAAATACCTGTTACTTCTATCAGAGTAACTAACTAACTAACTTCTTGTTAAAGACTTTTCCTCAGTTCGTGCACGTCCTCGTCTTATGAGCACCCTCACCTCAATGTCTGCACTACAGCACGACGCCAATCGGTCGATGGAGACCCAGCGAGAAGATGGGTTCGGGATAAGCTGAGAAAAGAAGAGGTGCTGAATTACACCCGAGTCATGGGTCAAACAACCAGACTCGAACATCTATGGAAGCAACCGACTCCCAGTGACAGCAAGAAATCCGCGAAGTAGAATGTAGTTCGCGAGTACTTAACTACAAGGAAACGGAGGTGGAGTGAGAACGAGAAGATTATGATTAAGATTTGCGCATATAGTTATCTGATGCTTATTTTTTTCAGGAGTAGCATGACATTTTACGCAGCACTCTGTCAATCACATGATGTTCATTGAGGTTTTATGAAGAGAAATTTAAGCAAAGAAACAACTTAGTAAGTAGAAGAAATTAGCTGGTGCTGGGGGTTCTGTTAATATTATAGGCGTAGTTTCTATCGTCGTCCTTAACCTTATCTTCGTCATTTCTCGGATATAATTTTGTATTCAGTCTCTTTTAGTCGTTTTGCCAGTACTACTAGCCGTCAAGGAATAAGAATAGGATATTGATTCGCAGTAGCTTAGTACAATCTTCATGAAGCAAGAACGTGAACAATCAACGCCAAGAGTTACTGCTGTCAAAAACCTTAAGATGGAATTTGAAATTGATCTTTTCCCATGATCTTCTTCTTCGGGGTACTAAAGGACTCCTACGCGATGTTGCTGTCAGTACTTCTATATTGAGATAGTAGGTTGTTGCTGAAGGATGCTCACGCATTTCAGAAAATCACATGCATTCTACTGCAGAAGAAGTTGATCCTCGTCGGGTGGTAGCTGCAGCCCTGCAGCGATTGCGTCCGGAGTGAAGAGGAGAGTTGTAATTATGTAGTAGAAAATCGGCCAAAATTATGGAGTGATTCTTGAGAGGAGGAGAAAACGACGATCACCTGAATCACGAGTTGTTGACAATGATATGAGAAAAAAATAGTTCTTCATCCCGTTCACCCCCCTCCCTGGCCCCATGCCCGACAATTTGCTCTGAATGTAGCTGATGCTCTGAATGTAGCTTATGCTCTGAATGTAGCTTATGCTCTGAATGTAGCTTATGCTCTGAATGTAGCTTATGCTCTGAATGTAGCTTATGCTCTGAATGTAGCTTATGCTCTGAATGTAGCTTATGCTCTGAATGTAGCTTATGCTCTGAATGTAGCTTATGCTCTGAATGTAGCTCATGCTCTGAATTAGCTTACGCCACTGTAGATGAAACAACGGAGCATCACCTTCACAGCTTCAACATCAGAGATATCCGCACGAACTTCGCGGATCAGAGAAATCCGTACAGATTCAAGGAAGTCGTCGGTCCAATCGGAACCGACTAGCATTATCATGCTCCATCTTCATCAGATACGAGCAGATGCTCCATTTTTATCAGATACGAGCCCGACAAATTTCTCTGAATGTAGCTTATGCTCCATTTTCATCAGATAAGAGCAGAAGATCAAGTTCTTACACGAAGCTTGATCAAACCAACTCCCTAAAAATGAGGCGGGCTAACTAAACCAGTACTATGGCATACGCCGCAGGCTCAGACGTATGACAGTACAAAACCTCCTTGTTTCCACACCCTTCATTTCAACTCGCCTGACCACTTTTCTTTAATATCTTTATTAGAACAAGGTGGCAAGACAAAATGAAGCCTTCAATAACGTCTGCTCGCTTGCGCTCGTGTGCCTCGGCACTCGTGCTTCCTTGCACTGCTGTCGCGCTCGCATTACAGCTCAATCAGCAGAACCTTCTAGACGAAGATGCCGGGACTCCACCAACGCCTTTCTTCCGGAAGGACACTATGCCAGCCGTTCCCACGACCGCAGTTGTCATCATCAACTTGTCCATTCAGTATTTCCTCATCTACGCTGCTATGGCAGTCATCCGTACCTGGAACGAGCTTGGCAAGGCTACTAGCAGCTCATTCACTTTACAAGCGTTAATTCGTAGCGCGACTGCGACTGTTAATTTAAGACGTCTATCCTGTAATACTAGCTTGTTATTACTTACGACTATAATTCCTCTTGTTGAAAATACTAATAATTGTGCTTTAACAAGACTTCTTCCGGAAATTCATCTTGAGAACAAGCGGTTTGGAGCCCTGTACCTGTCTATTACGTGGGCATTTTCAGGGTCCAGAAGGATGACTTTCAAGATGGATTTCCGTTCCACAAAGTAGGTCTAATTAGTTTCTGCCCAATGCTGTGCGTGCTTTTCCTAGGTGCGCGGTTGAGAGCAGAGCAAATCACTCAAGGAAAAACCGAGGAATTGGGGTTACCGAATGCTGAGACCAGACTCGGTATGCAGGTGGCAGCGAATTGCGTCTTGGGACAATTGTTGTGTTATGGGCTTCTTTTTTTGAGGACTTTTTGTGATTTTTACTGTTGTTACTAGACAGCACATTCCGAATTTCGTTTTTGTCAAAATGATGTGGCTAATCCTCCGTCGTTGTGCTCCTGTCTTTTCTCACTGGAGGCATTAGTTGTCGTTGTCACTGGACACATGCACATGCTAATCCCAAACATACACATACACATGCACCTAACTTCACTTCCCGCTAATTCCCCGTCCTTCTCCTCCCGCTCTTGACCGGAGGCATGTCTGCTGTCCCTACAGATTCGGATGGCAACGTGGACCTCAGCAAGATGACTGGACTGACCAATCGTCCTCTGCGCTATTTCATCACTCTCCTTCGCTACTTCTTCATGGTCGGCCTCTATGGTGGCTCTTCTGTTGTGGTCTACGGCATTAACACCATGGACATCGAGAACAAGGTGTTAAGAGCTCAGATGTGGCCTGCTGGCGTGCCCACGGTCTCTCCTCCGGTCATTGCGACCATTTACCTGACGACGGTCTTCTTCGTCGTTTACACCTTGTTGGCCTTGGTGCGAACGTGGTTGTCCTTCAGCACAGGTGAACAACCGATAGCGGAGAAATTGGGTGGTAAGTAGGAGCTCTCTTCTAGAAACAAAAACTCTTTCCAAGAAGAATCCTTCTATCCCAATAAATGCTGTCATTGTCAACACTACCGCCACGACCTGTTTTCTCTGTAGTTGTACTGTGGTCTCTTGTTTATTCACTAGTACCTACACAGGTGCCCTCTCGCTCGTCTCCATCACTGTGATGAACATGGCACCCATGCTGTGCATCTTATTCGTCGGGGCTCGTATGCGCGCTTTGCAGATCGATCCTATTGGCGGAAAGCTTCCAGAATATGCCCAATTTGCCTGCTTCGGATGTACTAGCGCGATTGTTGTTCAGTTATGCTTTCCTTCATGTATCAATCTACTTCGAACTACTCCTAGAGCAAGAATCGATCACAAGAACAGCGAAAACAAGGAGTATCCTTCCGCGTGTTACGTAGTTCTCGTACACCTACTACGGAAGATCGTGAAACGCATGATACGATTTCCACTTCTTCTCAACCTCGTCTCCTGCTCTAACTGAAGCCGTCTTGATCATCCTTCTGCCCTTCACGAGCTCCACTGTCCGATGTGAACGGGGTGATTTTGAAGGTGACATCAAATTCTCTGGCTTTTCCGGTGGCAGCACTCTGGCCCGCATAGTGCAAGCCGTCTTTCTCACACTCCGCTATGCCGCATTGATTTGCGTCTATGGCGGTTTCTCAGCGGTCTGCTATGCTGTGTACACGATGCCAGGAAGCACTGTTGGTCCTGCGTTGTTTTCCTCAACTACTGCGGGAAGTTCTGCTGCGCTTGCTGGTAGCAGTCCAACAGGTACAGAAACAACTACGGAAACAACGGGAGAGGAAGAAACTGGCAGTTTACCCTCCATGATGCTCGTCCAAATGCAAAAGAGCACACATCAGGTTCCATCTATAATTCCCGCTTCGCCTCCACCTGCTGCTCCCCCACTGTCTCCAGCCTTGCTATGCGTCATGAACCTCGCTGTGCAGTACTTTGTGATCTATCTGCTCATGCTCGTGGTGCAAAGTCTCAGACAGTGCATGCCCACTAGTTCCAAGCTCTCGTTGCTCGCGCAAGCCATCGACAGCAGCTGCACGACTGTCCAATATGCTCCCATGCTTGCAGTTCTCTTCATCGCTGTCCGAATGCGGGCTCTACAACTGGCTGGAAGTGAGGATGGATCCATCCCTCCACGAGCCGGGCCACCGACCTATGCACAAGAATGCATGTACCTTGCGACGTGGGCAGTTTTGGTGCAGGTTGTTTATGGATGATGACAGGAGCAAGGAGTAATATCAATAAGTAACGTAGAGGTAGAAGTGGAACCTAGTTGTACTAGACCACCTTGAAAGAAGAAGATGTGGTCGACGACGTAGTTGTAGGCGACATGATCGACTTTGATTAGCTCGCACAAGAAGTGTCCCTCTATTCTTTATTTCCTCTTTCTAAGATCAAACAGTTTTTGTCGCAACCGCTATGTTTCCGGTTGAGGTGGATATGGAGGGCAACGTCAAAGCTCCAGCTAATGCGCCTAAAGCAACGACGTATGTGCTGACGGGATTGAAGTATTTTTGCAGCTTGTTTTCTCAACTTGCTCTTGGAGATATTGCTTTTCTTGATTGATGTGTCTGTGTGGTCGATCTTCATGTTGGAGATCACGTCAAAAGAGAAAGCATCACGAAGACCGTTGTGGCAGTATCATGATCGTTTCTTTCGATCGTCCAAAAATCATACTCAAGAACATGACCCCAACACGACCAGATACATCTCCATGATTGCGATGCATGGTGGTTCTGTGGGCATCGTTTACGCCATGGTTTTCATGACACCGGAAACGATTCAGCCGTACGCGCACAACCCCATTTTGCCAGCCTCTATTGGTATCGAAGTACCGAAACCAGTATCCCCGGAGACGTTGTTATGTTGATATTGAAGTGGTTTGTTTTGCTTCTCCATCGATTTCTTTTTACTTTGATTGGATAGAATCCAACTTACCACCAAGCAAAGTGAGCAGGAGCAGTTCACTTCTAACTCCAATAGCGACGACGACAGCTGCGCCTGTCGGATCGGGTGGAGTCGTTGGGCCAACTACGGCCATGGGAAGTGCGCCGAGCTTTTTGGCGCTTTCTTTGTAGAGAAGATGCTTCGCAACCGTAAGTAGGCATCATTCACATTCTTTCTTCCAGGTTGGAGATATCTTAGTTCATCTAGTACACTAAAGTCCGAGTCATAGTCTATAGTTTCATAATTTTTTTTCCTGAAAAAGATGCTCATCAATCATGATGCATACTAGAAGGTGAGCTTACTTAGACGCAATACAAAATGTACAGGTATCTATAGACGTCGTGTTTTCGTAGTCGTGAATATTCAAGTTTGATAATTCATTGACCGGAAAACTTGTACAGTGCAAGCAAAGTCGTTTTGTTTTTCTTTTCCAAAATGATACTTAAATCGACGTGCATATCATGATTTTCGATTTTCATTTTGTTGAAAGCTTCGGCTGCGCCGCAGCGTAGTACAGCAATGGTGCATAGACGAATAGACGACGTCATAATAGAGAGCGGGCCCATGATCTTCAGCATCAACAAAAGGCTGCTTCTTCTACTACTGCCGTTGAAGAGATGCACAACTGGAGAGACCCTGATCATTTTCTGTTGGCTCTGTCAAGATTTCGGTCTTTGTGTGCCAGGTTTCGGTCAAATATCTGTCACGGGAACTACAACTGCTAGCGCGTGAGAGATGTGTAGAGTGGAAACCCCCACCATCTTCCCCTCATGGAGGTATTGTTATGGACTCTTTCATGCACTTACACGACATGTGAAAGATGCGGCCCGGGCCCCAACGTGAGTCCCCAAGAGCCTTGATGTTGGGCTCATTCAACATGCGTGCTGGTAACAAAGAATGAAGTGTTGATCATGCTTTCCCTGCTTGGCCCTTCGAACAATGGCTGACGAGCAAGCCGCCTGAATCCAACCCAGTGGTCGTCGTCGTCGTCGTCAAATACGGCCAACTACAGATCCAAGAACACGATGTCGTCCTCTTCCAAGCAACAGTTGGATGACGACGTCACTGCCGTCATGGACCGCCTAGAACGTCAGCTGAATGACCGCCTCAACAAACTGCAACAAGACGTCTCCGCGAAAGCTGTTGGAACGCAGGGGGAGACTGCCACCACGAGTAAATTGACGAATCATAGATGGAAGAAGGGGGACAAGCGTTCTGGTGCTGCTGCAACGCAAAACGACTCGTCTTCATCGGGAAGTAGTTCCTTTAGCGCTTCCGATGACGAAGAGCAGCAACAAGACGTCGATGGTGCCGGAAGCAGCTCCTCATCGTCTTCTTCTTCATCTGCCAGTGGCAGTTCCAGCTCTAGCTCGAGTTCCAGCAGCAAACAAGACGACCGCCGTTACAAACCACCTAGGAGCGCAAAGAAGGGCACAAATAAAAGGGTTGTAGTTGTAGGTGATACAACATCTAAAAGTCCAAGTAGAAAGACGAGAATACGAAAGAAAGCAGGACAACAACGACAAGAAGGAATTACAGGGGATCATGACGCTTCTCCTTCTACAACAGGTCCGCCAGTCGATTTAGATGCCTTGATACGCAGTGGAGAAAAACGCATTCGCGCAAAAGCCGAAGAACGACGACGAGAGCGAGGTGGCTTTCTAGGCGCTGCTGGGTTTGATCTGTTGAATGACAAAGAAGAAGATCTTTCTGGATTTCACAGAGGAGTGGAAGCAGCTGCGCGAATTAAAGCTGAAACAAGTGATCGATTGCATCGTAAACTAATGAGAAAATTTTCGCCACCTGGACGGACTGGACCCACCAGTCTTGGAGGAGCTGCACAAGGAAGTAAGTCTCGCAGTCTCTCTCCTGCTGAGCAAAGGTTTTTACAGGAAGAGAGAGGACGTCTCGAGTCGGAATACAAGCTCCTAATGCGGCAACATAAACTTCTATTGAGAGAAAATAGGAAGTTGTATGGCGAAAAGTTTGAGACGGAAGGACAATTGTTCTCGGATTTGCAAGATAAACGGAGAGAGTTGCAGGCTTATCAACTGGAGGCGGAGCTGAGTCAAGTTGGTATAATGTCGTCTATTCTTTACTAGTATTTGTTGTTGTAGAAATTTCACTAGTTGTACTCTTAGTTCTACTGGTACTTGCTTGATTTCTTTATCGCCTGTGAAAATATTGCTGCAGCAGTAACGCATTATATTCTACACCTTCAATGATCCTCAACGACCTGATCCTTTCAAACCGCACCACCTGCCTTCAGGTCGTTTTGCCCCACCTCGCATCAACATCTCCGGCACGACAAGGGGGGGCCCTTGGCCGGATCCTGTGCAACCGGATGAGGGAGATGGAGCTACGAGCGGCGCTCCTAAGGCCGCCTCCGACGCTGAAGTGGCGAATTGGCGAGTCGAACGTGAGACGCTGGTGAAGCAGATCGAAGCGTTTAAGCAGGAATTGGCACAACAGGAGGAAGAAAGGCAGAAGCTGGAGGAGATGGTGATTGAGGACGAACAAGAACGGCAGAGGGAAGATTAAGGCTCAACTTTCAATGGTCACCATTGACGTCATTGGGGTCGGTCACTGAGATCGAAGAGGCGACCCCTTCTCGAGAGAACCAACAGGGGAAAGAAACGAAGGGAAATAAGGGGGTCTCTTCCGTTCAGAGTCAGTGGCCACTGAATGCTGAGCTTTAAGAAGAGGCTGAAAGACGAAGGCAGGAGACGGAGCAGAAGGTGCGGAGCCGTAGAGCGGGATTGACGCGCACTCCAACGAGGCGAGAGGTGAGCGTCGACCCTGAGGGAGCAGGAGCAGATAAAAAGAAGAGAAAGAAAGACAACAAGAAGGACGACGATGGTGAGGTGAACAAGATGAATACGCCAGGAGTTGCGGAGGCTGCTAGTGCAACAACTCGTGTCATACAACACGGTCTTTCAAACGAAGAGGAGCTGAACTACCTACTCGCAAAAACAAAGTCACAGCTACTTCTAGAAACCACATCAGAAGACATCAAACACGGAGAAGACGCTCTACGAAGTACGAAAATGTCCTATACAAAGACCACTAAAACAAGTGAACCTGCTCAACCTGGCGAGATTAATATCACCGCAGACCACCATGAACTCGTACAGGACACGGCTTATACTCTCACAGGTTATGAACTGCGCGGATTTCGTACTCTGGTGAAAGCCAGGCTAGCAAGGGAAGAAGGGAGGCAGAGCCAGATTCGACACGAAGTCGAGACTTCGGAAAAACATGTTGCTGCACTTGGTCTTGGAGGGACGACAAGCGCTGGAAGTGCGACTGCGTCATCTGTGGATCCTGTCATGGCACTTCTACAAAACGCGACAGAGCAAGACCCGGAATCCGATTTACGCGCCTTGCGGGTTTTGCTACAGAAGACGACACAAAAAGTCGAGCGTCACCGTATTGAACTCTTTGCTTTGAACGACGGTTGTGAATGGTTTCGGTCTGTGGATATGAAAAGGAAAAATGGACAACTACCCGTTGTAGAGACCACATCAGGAGCAGAAGGTTCAGGAATGTCTGCTAGAAGTTCTGCTACGAGTCTTGCAACGAGTGGTCACCAGCCTCGTCCTTCTTCACAAGAAAAGTCAAACCGGATAATCGAACCCGATAACGAGGACGAAATTGATTTGCGAAAAGTGTGGCACCATGATGCATCGATTGGGGAAGGTCTCACTTATCTGCGAGAATTGCTTGACCCCTTCGTGATCGGAGGAAAGCATGTTGCCTTGAATAGAAGCACACAACTTGCAGACTCACTGGAGAAAGAAATTGCAGCAGCAGAAGGTTCGAGGTTAGTAGTTTCGCCTTTTAAGCCTCTTCCGGATGGTGGGACCACGACGATTACTTCATCTGGCTCTAGTACTGCTTCTAGTAGTACAATGGTTCCTGTAGTTGGTGAATTCATTCTCGCCAAGCGTTTTCAGCTCTTTGGTATTGGTTCTGGGGGAACTATGTCAACTCATCTCAATAAAGACAAAGAAACCCTTTTCCGAGAAGGCAAACTTCGTCAGGCCCGTCTCCGTGTAAAAGCTGCCAACAGGCTAGAGGAGACCTCTTTACAGGAGCATCTAGAAAAACTTCCTTCGGCAGGAAAGCTCGGCTCCGATGCCAAACTAGCAGCCGCGGAGGCGTGCCACAAACGCCAAACCGAGCTCCAACAACGCGCAGCTGATCTGCATAAGGCGGAGTTGCTAGTGACGCATTGGAGGGTTGTGAGTCAGTTGACGTTGACAAACAAGATATTGGCAACAGGCCAGGAAGTAGTAGACATGATCGATATTGAAAGGCAAAAGAAGATTACCGCACCAGAGCAAGATAGTTTGGCAGAGAAGGTAGAGCAGATCGTGGGCAAATTGAGCGAGGCCATCGCAGGGCGAATCAATTTCGCAGTTCAGCGATTGGAAATGGAGAAACGCCGTGACGCGAATCCCAAGATGCGTAGGTCAGAACGACAGACTTTGGAGCAACAATACGCGGACAACTTAGACGAAGAGCACAAATTGAGTATGGTTGAGGATTGTTGCTCGAAGATATTGAATCAACAATACTTCTTTCTAGGAGCAGGTGCGCAGACGCCAGGTGGAGCAACATCTTCGTCAGCTGCCTTTTTGGCAGCACTGGAGGAAGATCTAGGAACCATCCTCTCTGAGAGTCAAAGAAGTGGAAATAGTACAGAACGGCACCGGAGAGCAGCTCTGGGTCATTTGAAAGCCCTGACAGCTTTTCGGCGTGCTCAACTGGGAAGTGTGACTACTTCGGAAGATTCGCGCACCATAAACCAAGATCAAGTAACAGTCTACTTCCGCAAGGTGCCGCGTGAATTTACCGCGTTTCGTGACGCTGTGAAAGCTGAAAAAGAAATACTAGCATCCGAGTTGGGTTTGGCAAAAAGCCGACAAGGTCAACAACAGCAAGGCTTACTACCTCAAGGCCAATACGTCGGTCAGCAGCTGTTAGAAGAACTAGATGGCTCATTAGAATCTGAAAAGCGCAGAATTGACGTCGTTGATCGCGACTTGATCGATCACGACGTGGCTTTTCGCGATTTGCAGACTAGGGTGAGTCGCGTGTTTTTGCGAGGAAAAGTAGCGACAGGTGGGGGTCGAGCGGACCCAAATGTGCTGCGCTTAGATGCTCTTACCGAACGTCATGTGCTACAACGCATGCTAGTGCATGCACAGCACACACTGTTTTCGCGCCGAGTATTGTTGGAGCGTGCCAGACGTCAAGTGATGAGGCAAGCGATATTGCGGCAGTACTCTGAAGAAGATCAAGCGGCAAGTGGTACTAGCACAGACACAACTGCAGCAAACAAGTTACCATCTTGGGCTCGCTTCTTTGAAGATTTGGTAAAAGAGGAAGTAGCCATGATCGACGCAGAATTCCTGTGGCACCACGAACGGGAACGCGAAGTCAACATGGAAATCAAATATCCTCTCGAAACCAGGAGAACTACATTGGGCGAAGAAGACGCTCTGCGCGTCAAGAAGCAACTCCAAGAGTATCGCTTGTCCCTAGGAGAGGTCTTCTCCGCCATGCAGGAA